CGAAATTTAGCCGGACCGAGCAAATCAGATTTCTCGAGTCAAGCCGCAGATGGTAGAGCGGAGGCAACTCGGGGCTCCCATAGGGGAGGACAAGTTCTCATTTCGTATCGCGCGCGCACTGCAGGTCGTACATATCGCACGCTTGCTTCTGATATGTTTCAGCGGCTGCACTCGTCAGCCCGAGGCCCAATGCAGAGCCAGCCAGCCGGCCTCCTCCTCCTCCTCTTCCTCCTCTTCCTCCTCCTCCTCCTCCTCTTCCTCCTCCTCCTCCTTTTCCACCCGGCAGCCATCGATTCGGCTGGGCGCCCAGCCGATTCGGGGCACCACCGCCGCCGTTGCCTCGTTGCTCGCCCTGGCCATCGGCTTCGCACGGCGGCCGTTGCGGCGCTCACGGCAGCGTGCTTTGGGTGCATGTCGTTTCCCGGCGTGCACCCTGGCTGCCACTGTCGGATCTTCACAAACGCCTGCGTGACGCGCCGGTCTCCTCCTGGCTGCGCGCGCAGGTCTTTCTCTTTCTCTCTCTCTCTCTGCCTTCTTCGGGGGCGGCCAAGAGGGGGTTCATGACTGAGAGGGTGGGTGGATACCATGGCGGGGGCCATGATATCTCCTCAGATTTCATGGCGCCTCTTCTTATTTCAGTGCGTCCACGGCCCCCCCTTGGGGCCGCGCACATGCCGCCAGCCATCATTTGCGCCCCCCCCCCCTCCTGGACGGCCCCCCTCTTGGCCGCCCCCGACTTCTGGCCCTCCCTCCCCGGACCTCTTCGGAACGCCGCCCTTCGGGGCCATTGCCGGCTGCGCGCGCGCTCCGTGCTGCGGGTGCGTCTCCTCCATTTCGGGGCTTACAGCGGCTTCTTGCGTGCATGCGGCGGGGCGGGCTCGCCGCATGCCTTCCATCCACGCGTCTCATCCCGCTTGAGCGCTCGCGGCAGTGGTGCCACTGCCCACGCGGAGGAACGTGTTCGGGACCAGGTGTCGCCCTCGTGCCTCTTCGCGCCACTTCTCCTGCAACCCCTCGCCTGGGCTGCTCGGAGGTGTGGCCTCACCGCCAGATTGACATCAGGACCTATCGGTTCAGGGCATGCTCCACACGACGTGGCCAATTTAACATAAACGCGCCGCGTTCCCCTGGAGATGGCGACCCATCGCCAGCTCGAGCAACAAATGTCTTGTGGATTGGCTTTGAACGTGTCTCGTCGCAGGTAACCCTGGGATTGCGACCCATCGCCGGGCTCGAGGAGAGGTGTGTGCTCCAGCTGGGCGGCTGCGGCCTGCGGCCTTCGGCTGGTGCTTTCTCTGCGCCTGCTGCCGGTCTCTTCGTATTGGCGGTTTGCCCGAACTCCGTGGGTTCCTGCTGCGCACCCGTGCACCAGGTCTCTCCAGAGAGACGCGCGCACAGTGTCACCGGCCACCCGCCCACGCGCTGCTCTGTGACCACCAGCGCGGACCTTACTCCCGCGGGTCCAATCGGCGCTGGGGTATCGGACACCCCCAGTGGGTTCGCCTGGGCGACGGCAGAGAACGGGTTCGATTGCGTCGACGTTCGCGCGAAAGTTTTCCGAGGTCGCGCGTGAGCGTTTTGTCTTGAACGTGGCGCGTAACGTCGTTATGTCATCTCTCGTAAGACCCGCTTTTCAAATCGTCACTCAATTGGACTTCAAGGCCCTGGCAACCTTGCCATTTGCATCCTTCTTCTACGCGTGGACTGTATCTGTCCCGTGCGGGGCAGTTGGCAGTTGGTCCGCGAGCGGCTGCCCCGGCCGCGCGTTGCGCACCCGCCCCGCGCAGGCTGGCGCCGCTGGCCCTCGCAAAGCCTGCCTCCCCGCGCGCTGTCGTGCGAAGAGCGAACAGGAACGGCGGAAACATTCGGCGGCGAAATCCGGGCCCTACCTTCACCGATCAACGATTCAGGCAACTCGATGGGCGCCGGGGGGAAGGTGATCGGTTTCTTATGTCTTGTTTAGCCTATCGGCGGGGGCCCTCGCAGCCCCCCTCCCCCTTCCCTCCCCCCCCCTGGAGTAGGTCTTGGCTGTTTTGGGCGCCTGTTTCGAGCAGGTGGGGCCTCCCCCGTAGGACGCACTGTTGCAAACAGTCGCATTCAGGAGAGATCTGGAGCCAGACCCCCCCTCCCCCCCCTTTGGCCCAATGTCGAAACGCCGAATAAGAAAAGTTGACTAATCATTCGGCGGCGGAATCTGGGTCCTACCTTCACCGATCGACGATTCAGGCAACTCGATGGGCGGCGGGGGTAGGGCTCGGAATTCGTCGAACACGTGTCGTCAACCAAACCCCGCGTCCGCCCTTCATCGTTCCAGGAGAGTCGATGGTTGGTGGGGGTAGGGTTCGCATGTCGCCACCCAAACATAATTTCTCGGAGCCCCGCGCGTATTTCTTGGATCGGCGCTGGGCCTTACTGGCGGCTTTTCTGTGGCTGCCCCTGGCGCTCTCCGTGTACCTGAGAGGGCGTGCCAGGGCAGATGCAAGAAATCCGAGCGGACCTCCGAGACATTAGGTTTGTGTGTGCTGTGTTTGTTCCTCTACTCGTGTCGGGAGGAGGAGGAGGAGGACGATGATGATGAGGAGGAGGAGGAGGAGGAGCAGGAGGAGGAGGAGGAGGAGGACGAGGAGGACGACGAGGAGTTGGAGGCGGAGGAGGAGAAGGAGGAGCAGGAGGAGGAGGAGGAGGAGGAGGAGACTTTCGCCAGGCAGGTACCTGGCGACTGGCGGCGCGATCCCTGCCCGTGTCGCGGGAGCGCTGCTCCACGGGATCCGTTGGGCGCGCACCAGGGGGGGGGGACATGCGGTCCTGAGTGGGTCTGGGTGGAAGCCGTCTCCCCGCGCGGTCCGCCCCCCATTATCCAGGGCACGTTGGCTTTTTGAGCTGAGGTTATTTTGTTGATCTCGGTATCCCTCCGAGGAAGTGCGCATACAGTGGACACCCATGCAACGAAGCACCCTGCTCGACTCTAGGGTGCTCTGGTTTCTTGTGTTTCGACGGCTTTGCTATGCAGGGCGTGACCATTCGCGCCAAAGATCAACGGACGTCGGGGGTCTCAGGGTTTGGTTTCCTGTGGAAGATTTCGCGTGGTCGAGCTCTTACTGTACGCTTCCCAGGAGCCCGCGCGGGCTGCTTGGACCAGCGCTGGGCCCGCGCCGCTCTGGCGCGCCGAGCGCCGCCGGGGGGGCTGCAGCGCCGATCCAAGAAGTCAGCCCGGACCTCCAGCATTCGAGCAGGGGATCGACTGCAGAACCGATTCACCCAAGCATTGATGTGTTCGTCGAATCTGTGAGAAGCGCGCAGATCTACGAGCAATCTTCTACGTATGACTCGACGAGGGACTCAGTTTTTTTGTAAATCGATTCTGTAGTCGATCCCCTAGGCCTCCTCGATGGGGTTGGGATAGATAGGGTTGGAGGTTCGCGCCGCATCGCTGATGCATCGATGATGCGGCTCGCTGCGGAGCCCGATTTTCTCCACGCCGACTTCGCCGATGCGTCGCCGACGTCGGCGGTGCATCGCCGATGCATCGCCGATGCATTGGCGATGCGGCGCGATCCTCCGACCACATCTACACGGACCCCATTCAGGAGGCCTCTGGATTTCCAGCTCGAAGCATGGCACTTCTTTCTGCCCCCAAACGCCCCCCAAAGGGCCGCTCCCGGGGCCCCCCGGACCAACGAGAGGGTCGGCACGTGGCGGAACGCTGCTCCCCGGGGGCTGGAGGAGGAACAGGTGCTCCGAGCTTTTTGTTAATCAGCCGGGGGGGGACGAGCGTGAAAACGCGGGGCGGCCAACCCCCTTTTGGGCACCACCCCCGCGCCCCAGCGGGGAAGGGAACGAACCCCATACCCCCCCCCGGCACCCCCGCGGACAAGCCGCGGCCAACACCCCCGGGCACTCCAGGGGGGGGGGGTTATTCAGCGATCCAGAGTACCCATGCCTCTACCAAGAGGAGCGTGGTGAGGACGTAAGCCAGCAGCTGGATTCCAAGCTCCAGCAGTTCCAGGTCTAGGAAACAGGGGTGTGGGAATGAGAGGCGTGAGGCGGGTGAGTGCAGGACCTCTGCCCTTCTCTCGTGTTCTCTTTTTTGGGGGGCCTCATGGGATCCCCTCGTCGCCACGGCCAGATATCGCCCCGAAGTGTTGTTCAGAGCGCACCCCTGGAGAGGTCTGGGGAGCAGCGGTATCGGTGTTTTTTTTGTGTCCCCCCTCAGGCCCCGGGGCCCAGGAAGATTGGCGCGCGGCGAAACGCTGCTCCCCAGGGGAGCGGGGACTGGATCGGCGGCGAGCGAGGGGGGGAAGTCAGAAGGACAAGGACCTCCCAGAAGGCGGCGGGACTTCTCAGAAACCCTCGCGCCTTCTGACAACTCTTTTTTTAGGGGAACAGAAGGCGGGGGGTCTTCCGAGCCCTCGCTCGCCGCCTACTGGAGATCGCTCAAACGTTCTCGGCCTCTCAGATGGAGTCAGAGCAGATGGGGTCGGAGGGTCGCCGTTACTTCGCTGATGCATCGGCGATGCCGTTCGATGCGGAGCCCGATCCTTTCAGCGCTTGAGTCGTGGCCGATGCTTCGCGAATGTCGTTGATGCATCGCCCATGCGTCGGCGATGCGCCGACGATGCGGCGCGCCCCTCTGGCCTCATTTACTCGGGCTCTACCTGAGAATCTTCTAAACATAGATCGGTCCACGCGGCCCCAGAAGCCAGTTCATGTCTTCATGGCGTAATCTGCCGCGTGACACAGTCTATATGTTGAAACAGGGAACAGTCTGGTGTCGGAATGGGCTCGCTATTCCCTGGGCCCTAGGCTTTCCCACGGATGATTCGCCACTGCTCGTTCATCCAGGTGCTCGTGGGTCCAAGAAGGTGTCCCTTGCCGTAGTTAGCGTTGCTTGTGGTGTTAGTGAGCTCGACGGTATTTCATGCAGGCCCCGTTGTGGGGCTCAGAGACGCATTGTTGCAAATTCATGCCGCTGCCGCTGTGCCCCGCCCCCGCTTGTGCAGGCCGTCAAAAGGGACGTCGCCGTGGAGGCGACCCAGGAGGCGGCGCAGGACCGCGACCTGGCAGGGTTCTCCGCCTCCTCCTCTCCCTCCTCCTCCTTGTCAGTCGGGTCTGGTCACTGTGTCGGTCGACCCCAGGAAAGTATGGGTATCCTCGTGCCCTGTCCACTGCGTCTCGTGGTCTCTGCACGTCTGGTGCACGGGCTGCCCTCGGAGGAGAGTCGGCACTCGCGGGAGTTCTGTGCAATCCGTCCCGACTGTAATGCTGGCGGGCGGCCTTCTCGATGCCCGCTTGTTCCAGCTCCAGCCCCCGAAGAGGCGACACCGGGCGGAAATCTGTTCTCAACGCGACATGCCGCGTCCCTCGCCGGGCCCCAGCTGCCCAGCTAGTCCATTATACTCTCCTGGGGAAACTGAGCTCCTGACGTAGGTCGGGCCTGTCCCTCTACAGGGGGAATATTCAAAAATAGTCAAAGGATAGTCTGGGTACAATGTTTGTTGACTATTTTTGAGCAGTTTGGGGGTATTGTTTGGGTCTTTCTTATTTTTCACCCAAAATCCCCCTGTAGGGGGACAGGCCCGACCTAAAGCTAGTACATTATATTCTCTGCGGAAACTGAGCTCCTGACGCAAAGCGCCCCTCTAACGGGCGCGTCCTCCGAATGCGATGCCAGCCTCGAGGCGCCCCGATGGGTCGGACCCCCCCCGTGGGCTGGCCCAGCAAGGCCATGATATCTCAAGAGCCCTGGAGTGGAGGGTCACCGGGGGTTTCCATCGCGGCAAGCCAGGAGCGCCAGAGCCCTCAAGGTGATGCCATCTCAAATGCAACCGAGGACCACGGAGCTCGTCCACATTGGCAGCATCATAGGTCGGGTGTTTCTTTGAGATCGCTCGAAGGCCCAAGGGTTTGGAACAGGGGCGCGCTCCAGAATGTGATGCGAGCACCAGCGCCCGAGCCGATCCCCCCTTTCAGATCGCGCTGAGCGAGCCTCCCTCCTTATCTCGAAGAGTAGCAGAGAGATGAAGCGAAGGAGTAATGAACAACAGTGCGAGGATGCAGTACTCTTCCTCGTTCCGTGTTCTCGATCCCTTGGTTATTTTGTTGTTTCAGGTGCACATTCACTACTCCACGCGTGTGTGCGCCCTTTCTGTTAGTGCTTGAGCACTGGCCTAAACCAGTGAACGACGACCAGTGAACAACACCAGGAGGGAGGCGGGACCTGTGACGATCATCCCACACATGCTCGGGGTTCTGGTAACTAGCCGAGCCTGAGGCTCGCGAAGATCGCTCGCTGCTCATGCGCCGTCGCCGCGGTTGCCTTCCCAGCGTCATCGGCCTCCTGAGCGGCATGGGAAACGAGCTGGTGGAGGTCGGCCAGCAGCTCAGGGCCATCCGCCGACCTGCACCGAGAAGGGCAGCCAGCCCAGCTTCTTCGGGACAGCGACCGAAGCAGGAGGATGTATGAACGAGGCTGCGTGAGCTCCCGGCACAGAGGCGCGACTGAGGAGTCGCAGAGGCTGCGCCTCTGCGATCGGCCCGGGGCGTGTCCTTCAGACCGATGTTCTAACTGAAGCTGCGGCCTCTCGCCTCGCATCCCCAGTGGCCCTGAGAACCACCTCCGAGCACTCGGGGAAGGTCCTTCAAAGCCGAATCGGCCCACTCCTGCACTTGTGGGCGGTCAAACGCTGAGCTGTACAGCCATCGCCATGCTGATCCGCGAGGGGAGCCTCCTCCGCCACCTGAAGAGCCTGACTCCAACAGTTTCATGGCGGCAACTTCGCAGAGCGGATTCCGATCGGATGAACAAGGAATACGGAAGAGCCCCAGACCTTCCTCCGAATTAAGTTCTGGATTTTGCTGTGAACTCCAAGCGGAGTGTGTGAAAAGCCGCACCCACGCGAGATTCACTGCGCTTTTCGCTCGCAGGTTTGGGGTGTTTCGTGGACTGAGCTCCACGTATATCCTCACAGTAGCCAGTCTGCAGGACCAGAGCCTCGCGAGGAGTCTCCCCGAGGAGCAGGCCCCACCGGCGGGAGCACGGGCGGCCTGGCCCTGCGGCGGACGCCTGGGATTCGAGCTCTGCCAGCGAGCCCCGAAACCGCAGAGACTCGGGCAGGGGTGGGGAGATGCTGGAATCACCAACCACCGAAATCTCATCCGTCTCCGCCTCCTCCTCCTCCTCCTCCTCCTCCTCCTCCTCCTCCCCTTCCTCCTCCCCTCCCTCCTCCTCCTCCTCCCCTTCCTCCTCCTCCTCCTCCTCCTCCTCCTCCTCCTCCTCCTCCTCCTCCTCCTTCTCTTCCTTCTCGTCCTCCTCGTCGTCCTCCTCCTCCTTGATTATCCCCCTTCTTCATCCCTCTTCCTTATGGATAACTCCTCCCTGTCGCACCCCGAGACGCTTAGGCGGACCGTGCGTTTCGCTTGAGGCCTCCTCACCGCTTATGATCCTTCAGCTGAGAAGATGTAGCAGCTTCACGGATGGAGGGCGGGCCGTTTTCAAAAGGTGGTTCTCGCTTTGGCGCCGCGCACATTCGTTTCAAAAGCTTGCAGGAGTTCCATGGATGGAGGACGCGCCATTTTCAAAATATGGTTCTCGCTCTGGCACCGCGCGCATTATTCTTAAACATTTGCAAGGGTTGCACGCGTAGAGGGTGGCCCGTTTTCAAAACGTGGTTCTCGCCTTGGCGCCCCGCACATGAGCCTCAAACGTTTGCAGGAGCTGCACGGATGGAGGGCGGCCCGTTTTTCAAATTGTGTTCCGCGCCGAAGCGCCACGCACAGGAATCTCAAACGTGTGCAAGAGTTTCGCGGGTGGGGTCGGTGTTTGTTCAGATTGCGGCTCTCTTTTTCGTGCCGCATACACTCGTCTCAACAGGTTCCAGTATTTCCAGTGAACATTGCCGTTGACGTCAGGCGCGTTGATTTGCGTGTTGAGGCCCCAGGAGTAGTTGTCTGGCACGGAGTCCCAGGAAGGGTGTTTTGGTACGGTTGCAGGCAGATCTGCAGACGGTTGTCTTCCAACCGAGCACTTCCGCAGGTCCGCAGGGACCTGAGAAGAGAGAGTTGTTGACGTTTCGCGCATCCCCGCCAACCCATCCAGAAACGATGCCCAGGGGAGTTGAAGTGATCAGGGAAGTATTGGAGCATGCTGGACAACAAAGGGCGGGGGAAGCCGTCCGATACCCCAAGAGGGGGGGATGGTGGAGGAGAGGAAGGAGGAGGAGAAGGAGGAGGGCGAAGATGAAGGAGGAATAGACAGTGGACAAGGAGGAGGAGGAGGAGGAGGAGGAGGAGGAGGAGGAGGAGGGGGCATCTTGGTGAGCCCCGTCTTTGAGCGTCCTGGGTGCCTCGGGGATCCTCTTGACGCCTCCTTGGGATCTCTTGGGAGCCTCTTGGAGACATCTTGGGCGCCTCTTGCGGCCGCCTGGGCGCCTCTTGGAGCCCTCTTGGGGCAGCGCTCTGGGGAGCTTCATGGGACGCTCTTGGGGCCATCTCGGAGGACATCGATCGAACAAGAGGGCGCTTCAATTCGGGTCCCCCCTTGGGAGCTCCAACAGTCGCCTCGTGGGGGGGGCGCTCTCGGGGCGCTCTTGGAGCGCTCTTGGGCGCTCTTTGGGCAGTCTTGGGGCTCTTCTTGGTCTCTCCCGGGGCCCTCTGGGGCCATCTGGGAGCCATCAGGAGGCGGATGGCTATCGCAAGCGAAAAGGCGAGGAATCTAGAAACCAAACAAATCACAAATCAAGAACTCACACAACAACACATCGAATGGACGGCTTTTGGCCTCTTCGGGGCCTCCTTGGGGAGCTCTTTGGCCTTTTGGAGCCGTCTTGGAGCGGTCTTGGGGCCTCTTGGAGTATCTTGGGAGCGATCTTGAGGCATCTTTGGATATCTCGAGCCATCTTTGACCTCATCTTGGGCTCTCCGAGGCGCTCTTGGAGCCATCTTGGACCATCTTGGACGCTCCGACCCCTCGGGGGACCCCCTCGTCCAGGTCCAGGGGAGGTGGTAGGGGGAGAGGTCAAGCTACCCACCCGCCCGCAAGCCGTCTAGCTCACTCCCACCCGCTCTCCCAACACATAAGTAACACCCGAGCCTGAGCATGTTCAGCGGTCGTTTTTGGATGGACAGTTATTGGTAACCAAAGCCGACCCCAGGTGCGCGACGCTTGGGCGAGGTGCGCCACGCGTGCCAGGGGCGCCACGCGCGCCAGGCACCCCTGGGCCCGAGCGTGCCAGGTACGCCTGGTGCGCCAGATGCGCCACGTGCTCCGAGTGCGCCATGTCTGCCGCACACTCCAGCCGCGCCAGGTGCGCTACGTTCGGGGCACGTGCAGAGTGCGTCAGGGGCGCCTGCGCAGGTGACAGCACACATCGGGAAACATGTCGGCCCCCGCCATCCTCGTCGAACACCTGTGCCCATCATTGTGTCTGGTGGGATTGTGCACAGCAGGCCACTCGCCACCACCCCCGCCGTCCCTGTCAAAAACCACTTGACAGTGATCGCTGTGTGGCCGCGCATGATCCTGACTTAGCCGCGAGGTGTATGTTGTATTGTTTTTGTCAGGGATGGTAGCCCTGCGTGCTGACACTCCCGCCGTCCCTGTCAAAACAATACAGTGCTTGCGGGCCTCACGAACATGACTCAAGACTCTGCCCCAAAGTGTACTTTGTATGTTTTTTGACAGGATGGTGGGGGGTGGCCGCATCGGATAGGCCGCACATGCTCCAAATGTGTAGACAGAGTGCGTGTTGTATGGTTTTTTGAAAGAATCGGTGTGGGGGAGGCGCATGGGGTCGGAATGGGTTCTGGTTGACCGCCGGCCGGGCGGGGGAGGGGGTGTATATTAATAGGGATCAGTGACAACACCCCTCCCCGAAGGTGAAGAGGGGCATATTGGAAACAAAACGCCCTAGACCACCTACGCCCTAAAGTGCTGGTGGGACTTGGAGGGAGGGTTTATTGCACCATCGTTGATGAGTTTTGGGTTTGCACTGGTCCTCCTCCTCCTCCTCCTGCTCCTCCTCCTCCTCCTGCCCCTCCCCCTCCTACTCTTCTTCCTCTTCCTCCTTCGAGGCAACAGAAAACGTCGACGCGGTCGGGGGGTCCAGAACTGGGCAGATGGGCGCGCTGGGCGGTAATGACCACAGCCGCTCTGAGCTTATCCGCGAGATCTAACCCATCAATCGCCTCGGGGCCAGAGTTCCGATCAGCCCTCACGACGACTTCACACTCCAAGCCTTCGAGACGCTCCCGCGCCACCGAAAGAATCCCTAAATCCGACTCGGCACAGACAGAGCGAGATCACGCAGAACACCGATTAGTCTGGCGCGCACACCATCACAGCAGTGGCTCGGCCGTCGACCAGCACGCGCTACTCTAAGGTGGTGAGTGGGCCGAGCCCTTCGCGAACGCGGGCGCACGCCGCGCGGAGCTCCGAGAGTTCTCGTTCATGCCATGCTTTGGGGTTTCTCTATCAGCCACCCGTGGTGGGCGGGACTCGCATCGGCGTCCACGGCCTCGTGGGCCGGGCCCGCGGGCCGCCACCCCGTGGATACGGGGCGCTCTGCCAGCGGAGTGCCCCGCGCGGAACGTGCCCATGCGACCGCGCATGCGCGAGATCGCGCCCTGGAGCCCAGGCCGCGAGGGCGCGGGTAGCCCGTGCCCCCGTCGTCATGACTCTTTCGCAGCTTCGACCCCCAGAGGTCTCTCGAGCTATTCCCTGGGACTCGTTTTCTGGCGGCCCCGCGGCCGCGTGAGGCTCCCAGAAGCCAAAAACAGGGGATCTGGGTAGAGTGGAGACCTATGCCAAGAAACACCACGCTTGCCTCCAGGGTGCCCTGGGTTTCTTGGGTTCCGTTGGTTTTGCGATGGGAAGCGTGACGTTCCCACACCAGAACTCGATGGACGTCCTGGGGTCTCAGGGCTGGGTTTCTTGTGGAAGGCTCCTTGTGGACTGGCCCCTATTGTAGCGAGTCATGGGAGCCTTCTGTATGCCCTCGCAATGCCGTCTCTCGAGTGCACAGGCGTTCTAGCGTGTGGTATGCCGACGAGGCAGCGCCGATCTGGTGTCGGGTCGCGTCGGTTCAGCGTCGATGTAGCTTGCAGGTGAGCTGCAGCTCGTGCAGCCCGCCGGGGCTGCCGGGCCCGGCGCGGGGCCGCAGGGGGGGGCGCACCCAGGCGAAGCGGGGCCGCCGGGGGGGCGCACCCGGGCGGGGCGGGGCCGCCAGTGGTGCGCACCCGGGCGGGGCGGGGCCGCCGGCGAGCGCGCGCCGCACATGGCGTGGGCCCGCACGCGGCACGGGGCGCCGTGTGGCCACGGCCGTCCGACCGGCCGCCGCTCGCTCGGCCGCCGTCGCCGCGGTCGGCCCTGCGACCCAGACACCCTGAGGAGGAGGAGGAGGAGGAGGAGGAGGAGGAGGAGGAGGAGGAGGAGGAGGAGGAGGAGGCGGAGGTGAAGAAGAATAATGATAATAAGAACAAGCAGGAGGGGCGGAGGAGGAGGAGGAGGAGGAGGAGGAGGAGGAGGAGGAGGAGGAGGAGGAGGAGGAGGAGGAGGAGGAGGAAGGGGCGGAGGACGGAGAAGGAGGATGCAGGATGGAGGCTCCCTACGCCCCGCACCTTGCGCCCTTCTCGTCCTCTCCGTGCCTCGCCCGCCGCAGCCCATCCGCCGCGTTCATCAGGTCACGACTGGAGATTTTTGGCTATTTCTTATCTCTGGGGGTCCTGAGGGGCCTCGGGGCGGTCCAAGAAACGACTCAGGATGACAAGCCGGTCCCAGGGGATGGGTCGAGAGCTCTTGGGGCCGAAGTTGAGGCAAAATCATGACGTCGGGGGTCTGGCGAGAAATGTCGTCCAGCGCTGAGCTCCTCCTCCCCGCTGAGGGCCAGGGGTTCGAGGTCCTCGTCCTCCTCTCCCTCTCCCCGTCACCCTGCTCGTCCGCCCTGCCGCTCCGTCTCCTGCCTCCTCGCCCCGTTCACCCCCCCATTCGCCTCACGCGTCTTGCGCCCTCCCTCCTCCTTCCCCCCTCCCGGCGCTGGGCGTGGGGTACGGGGGGGTGTCTTTCCACCCTCCAGGCATGAGGAGATGGCTGTCCGCAGGCTCGGGCCACGCCGGCCCAGTGCTGGCGCGGTTGTGGCGGTGAAGCCCCGCCAGGGATGAGCCGAAGCCCGCCAGGGGCGAGCGCAGCAGCAGCATGGGGGCAAGAGGGTGGGGGGGCAGACCTGCCCTGCCACCTGTTCCGCCTCCTCCTTGGGGAGAGCCCCCCCCCCCCGAAGGCGGCCAAGGAGGAGGATTCCAGTGTATGGATTCCAGCTCTGGCCGGTCACCGGCGACCGGCGAGAGTCAGTGACCAACACCCGCCATCCCTTGGCACCGTTTCCAGAAGAGACCCCCGGAGCAGCACCCCAGCGGGCCAGCGAGGGCGCCGCACGACCCCAGGATGCCAAGGAGGATGAGGCCGACGAGGCGCGCCAGGAGGCTGCCCAGAAGGCGGCCGCGCCGCCGGGTAGCCGGGTCGGGCGCCGGGGAGGGGCGGCGGGGCCGTACGAAGTCCTGTGCTCCGTGTGGGGGCGCGAGCGGGGCCTCTCGGATCACGGCGCCGAGAGGGTGCCGTTGGTGGCAGGCTGCGACGGCGGCGACGGAGGTGGCTGTGGCGGCGGGGACGGCGCGGTCGATTGATGGTGACAGCGGCGGTGGTGGTTGTGATGCCACTGCTTGATGACGGCGGGTGTCACGATGGGACGACGGTGTCGTTGCTGGCGGTGACGACGACGATGACGACCTCGTGATTGTGATTATTCAGAGCGTGAATTACCTACCCCGCTTTCGCTTCCAGGCAAAACCAAGCCATACCACGCGCCTCCCCGTCAAGCGGCCTGACCAGTACAGGCTGCAATCTGGCATCGTTTGGTATCTCTTGGAAGCGAGGGTGGTCAAAAGCGAGGTAGGTTTGTTTTCCTCCTAATTATAGCGATGGCTGGCTACGGTATGGCGCGTACCCGAGGGCAGCAGCCCTGACAGAAGGCTCACTGCCCTCTGCATTTGGCTCGCCTCCATCAGTACCAGCTCACATGATTTGCCCCCTCGGATGCCCCCTGGCCTCGCGACGTTCGGCGGGGGCTCCTCACAGAAAGGAGCCGCCATGGCAGGCTCTGGGCAGCGATCATCAGCGTTCCTCGGCCCCTCGACGAGGCTGCTTGCGCTCGGCGTTCGGCTTGCGAGCTGTGGAAGTCCATAGTCCGCAGGCGCGCCTCGGCCTCTGCACGAAGCACCGCTGGCTCGGCTCCCCAGCCTGCGAATGCTGGCTAGGAGCTGCGCCTTTCTGCTGCAGTGCGAGCCACGCTACACTCGCTGAGGGCAGGTGTGCCGCGAGCTCCACCGCCGCTCGCTCGCAGCCGCCTCCCCGCGCTTCTTAGGGGGTCCCAGACGCTCAGTGGCCCTCTGCCGCGAGCCTCCACGCCCCGCTGGGCGGACGCACGCCCCCCTCGGGGCGGCGAGAGCGCGGTCTCGCGCCCATGCTGCGCTCCATCGGGGGAGGGCTCCTCCGTCGGCTGCCCGACCTCGCTGGCCAGCGGCTGGGGCGCCTCCAGCAGCTTGCTGCTACTGGGGCGCAGCTCGCGGCGCAGCCTCCCCAGCGCGGCGTGGATCCGCGCGTTCGTCGGATACCTCGGCATCGCCGAAGGAAATCTGAAGGCGTCGCACCTCACGAAAACAGTGCGACGCCGGCCCTCCACGTTGGGCAGGATGGTGACCAGAGCGGGAGCTCGGCCGCCCATCCGCCAGTTTCAGTCCCCTACCTGAGCTTAGGTTGCGCCGCTGAGTGTGCCGGCGCGGCTCCCCGCGCGCCGCGCTGGCGAGCCCTGCTGTGGCGGAGCGCGTCGCGTGAGGTTCGCCCGCCCGACGCGCCCTAATGGGCCGACCGCTCGATTGCATGACGGCTTGAATGCCCCGCGCGCGCGTCGTCGTCGTCGTCGTCGTCGTCGTCGTCATAGTCATAGTCGCCATCGATCCTCACAGCTCGTATTCTTCGTCGTCGTCGCCGTCGTCGAGGTCGATGTCGAGGTTGACATCGAGGTCGAGGTCGAGGTCGAGGTCCTTGTCGTCGTCTTCGTCGTCGTCATCGCAGTCGTCGTCATCGTCGTCGCATTCGTCGTCGTTGTCGTCGCAGCCGCCGCCGTTGTTGCCGCCGTCGTCGTCGTCGTTGCCGTCGTCGTCGTCGTCGTCGCAGTCGTCGTCGTCGTCGTCGTTCGGTCGTTGTCGATTCTGGAGTCGTCCCAGTCGTCTGTGTCGTGGAGGTCGCTATCGCCTTTTTCCTCCGATGCGGTCGTCGTCGTCGTGGGCGTCGGCGTCGTCGACGCTCGCTGGCGAGACACGCGGAGGTGTGGGGGGGATGCTGTTCTTGTTTTTCCCCCCCCCCCCCCCCTCCCTTGCCCACAGGGGGCCGAGGGCCAGCGGAGGGAGGGGGGCTTGGCAAGCAGGGGGGGGTGGAGCACCATTCGTTTTGCATGGGGCCTGCTCCTGTTCCTTGAGGAGGGGGAGCCCCTCTCCAGCCTCCCGCCAGGCCCCTCGAGGCCTGGCGGGTCTGCTTGTCGGCCACGCGCCCGCGAGCCGCGCGGCCTCCGAGCTCGCCGACCTCCACCGCCAGCCACGCCGCGCCCGCTTCGGTGCCTCTCGCCAGCCTCCTCGGCCACCGGCTCCGAGCTCCGAGCGCCCCTGCCGGGCCTCGCCCCTGGAGACGCGGCGAGCAGCCGCCCCCCAGGCGCCCCTTGCGGCTCCCATGGCAGCACGTCTGTGAAGCAGGGCTGGCCAGCCGCGTGCGCCCGCGGGCGGGGTCGGCCGCGACGGAGCCCCCCCCCTTCTCGCCGGCGGTGCCGCGGCCGCCCTGGCGCCGCGTGAGCAGCCGCCGCTGCTCGCCTTCGCCCCTTCCCGCTGGCCGCCCATGTCCGAGGCGGGAATTTGTACATGACCACCGCCTGGAGGGTCAGTTCTCGGAGCCTCGGCAGGCGGCGCATGTGGACAGATCCGGGCCCCCAGGGGCCGAATTAGATCCATGTCCACCGCCCGTTGGGGCACCAGGACGTGGGTTCCCAGGCGGTGGATCTGGATAGAAAAACCCGCCTCGCACCATGGGGCCTGGCGCGAGGTCCGTGCCCGCTGCTGCGTGGAGCCCGTGCTGCCGGCGCGCGGCGTCGCCCGAGGCCGTGGGCCCGCACGAGCGGGGGGGCCCCTGCGCCTGCCCCGGGGGCGCGCAGCCGGAGCCCAAGCGGCGGCTCACGGTCGAGGGGCTCACGGTCGAGCGGACCGGGAGCCCAAGCGCCGGCTCACGGGGTGCCGAATTTGTGAGCGACGCGGGGGGGTCTCACGCAAGGTGACGCAGCGACCCACACGCGGCGGCTTCCGCGGGCCTCCCGCGCGGCACGCGGACTTGAAAACGGGGGCGCTCGCGCACGACCTGACGGGGGGGGGGCTCACGCGCGGAGGTCGGCGCAGTCGGCCTCGTTTGTTTCTCGGCGTCGCCCCAGCGGCGGCTCACGGTCGATGGTTCAAGCAGTGGCGAAGCGTCCCGGCTCGCCTATAGCCCCACCAAACAATGATGTTCTAAGAACCTGTTTGCGGTTCCCACGAAGTGTTCTTAGAATATTTCTGGCTGGGACTGTCTTGTTTTAACACATCGGGTTTATGTTCTAAGAACATTGTTTTTGTTATTAGAACATTGTTGGGATCTAAGTCTAAGAACATTTCGTGGTATGACTATAGGAATGCCGGGACGGTCGGTCTTTGCTCAAATGGTGCTGAGATGGTGCTGGCAGACCAGCCACAACTGGGGGAGCTGTGATCTTTACCCGCCTAGGGGGGCCCATCGATTTCGACATCCCTCTCGAGGGATCGTCGATGCGATGGGTTCCCCCATGGGGGGTGAGGGCCACAGCTCCCCCAGTTATGGCTGGTCGGACTGGTGGGGGTCGTGGTAGTGCTGATGGCGGGGGTGATTCGAGGATAAAAACATACTTCTGGCGCTCCGCGCGGACTTCTTGGATCCACGCTGGCCCCACCCCCCCCCGGCGGCGCCCCCGGCGCGCGCCAGGGAGGGGGGTCTGGCGCAGATCCAAGAAATCCGCGCGGAGCGCCAACAGTTTATGCTTATGTGATGGGGATGAGGATGGGTATTGTGATCCTTCGGCCACGTGCAGAGGGGGTAGGGGGAGAGGGAAGGTTTCTTCTGAGGAGTGAGGCTGCTTCTTATCAGGCGCTGGCCTTACATCTGCAGACAAGGCCCGCGCCTTCTGAGAAGCAGCCTCCTTCCAAGAAGCCTTCCCTCGTCTATGCGCTGCCAAATCATGGCTGTGAAAGTGTCCGAACGACACCAGCGCCAGGTGTTGACGACGAGGGCGACGACGACGCGCAGGATGAGTGCGGTCCCCAAGCGGGGCGGTGCGGCGGACGATACGCGGAGGGCGTCCGAAGTAGAGGGTGGATGCTGGTTTGGCAGCGGCTCCGACGGCCAGTAGTTCTGAATCAGGAGAGCAGCCCGATGAGTGGGACGACCAGATTTTAGCAGGGCTGCACCCCCGTCGGCTGCATGGTGACGTATCAGGCGGTCACCGCAGGCCTCTGTGCGGCGTGGTGAGCAGCCTGTTAAGACATCTGCGCGTTTCACTCAGGAGGGGAAACAACACAGACACAATTCATCGTCGATCCCTCGGAACATAATTATGGGAAACTATGTGAGGTTGGGGGGAAGACAACAATCCAGCAACCATGAGAAAATAGGGGAATGTTGGTATTTGTGTGTATTTGTTTGTGTGTCCCTGGGCCCGTTCATTCACGTGCGCTTGGGCCAGGGGGGGGCGTCCGGATGCACCAACGCCTCCAGGCCAGGGGGGGGAGGGGCCTCCACCTCCCGCCCGAAGACGGCTACAACCCCCCTCCCAGCCCCCACTGCAGTCAGCCCGTACCATAAGGACGCGCGGTAAGGATTCAAGGGCCTTGGAAGGCCATGCTGACGTTTTTCGAGTGGGGTTGGCCAGCGAAGGTCGCCAAGGATGGGCCGAGGTGGCAAGGATGCAAGTTAACCTTTGAAAATCGCTCATCCTTCCCATGCGGGTCGACTGTAGTGGCGGGCGTTGAGGGGCCATCCTTTCTCTTTACCGCGCCCGCAAGCCACGCCCTGCCCGCCCGCCAGCCCTGCCCGCCCGCCCGACCCGCCCACCCGATCCGTCGTCGTCGTCGTCGTCGTCGTCGTCGTCGTCGTCGTCGTCGTCGTCGTCGTCGTCGTCGTCGTCGTCGTCGTCATTGGTGTTGTTGTCGTCGGTCGTCGTCGTCTCTAGATTCGTCTTTTTCGTCGTCGTCGTCTCAGTCGCAGTCAACGTCGCAGGCGCAGTCGTCGTCGTCGTCGCCGTCGCCGTCAAGTCGTCGTCGTTGTCGTCGTCGTCGTCGTCGTCGTCGTTTCGTGCATTTTCGTGATCGCCCATTTCGCTATGAAGCATGAGTTTCTGACTCATGGGTCCGAGAACGAGACGGATTGCGGACCACTGGGCGCGAGTGCGTTGTTGTTCGGTAGATATCGATCAGTCTAGTTATTGATTCGGCCATGGTCCTCTATGGGCGACAAGTGTTCGGAACGGATTGGGAAAGCTGGAATGACAATCGTTCTTACAGGTGGGCAACGTATGGGGCTGTCAGTTCATTCCTTAAATATGTTGCGCGTGTTTGTTCTCCTTGATCTGTCAAACTCGGTCGCAGCCAATGCAGGATCCTTGAATCGAGGCATGAGTAGTGCGATTGCAGGGAGGGAGGAGGCTTTTGCCGTTTATCTATCAAGGAATGCAGCACAAACACCCGTGTCAGTGGGCGATCTGTGGGGCCTCGCCAGATGCTCAGTGCCTCCGACAATGTGGCTGCTTCGGGGCGACATTCCGACATCTGCGGATCGGGGAGCAGGAGGGTTTGGGGGAAACGCGAGATTGAAAAGCGAAGTAACCTTCAGGGGAGCGAAGACAAGCGTGCTTCGCGCGTTGTGTCCTCGGCTGGAGAGCTGCCCTTCTCCAGGGCGGCCTCGCGGGGGCGCGTAGATCTCCGCGCGACGCGCATCGAGGCGCCGCGCACCGCCCGGCGCGGTGCGCGAAGGTGGGCGGGATGCGCGAAGTTTGGCGACCTGGGTCAGGCGGCGGGTTGCGCACAGACAGCCCCCCCAGGTAGTCCTGGCTGACCTCAGCTGGCCCCCCAGATCAGGCGATCGCAAGCATGGCTCAAGGGGACGTGGATCAGCGACGGGTGCCGTTTCCATGGGAAGTCGCGGATTCCCGCCGCCGAGCGAGGCGGCGCTGGCCGCATTCTGGGGAGGGCACCTCCCCTGGTCCATGGAGTTGGCGACCGCGCGCCAGATCCATGGGGTCGCTAATCCGTGTTGGCGCGCCCCCGACCCTGGCAGTCCTGGCGGACCTCCGCTGGCCCCCCCGAGCAGCCCCGGCTGGCCGGAGCAGACCGCCCCCGAGCAGCCCTCGAGCGGGCGGCCTCAGCACGGCAGCCCTGCGGGGTGGAGCGCCCAGGGGGCGCCGCTGGAGGCCGACGACTCGGGGGCCTGCTCGGGCCAGCTGGGATCGGGCGGCCTGCTGCTCGGCGGCGGGCGCGGGGGGGAAGGTGGGAAGGGGCGGGCCCCGGCCTTCTGAGAGGTGCTCTCAGCCTCCCCTGAGGCACAGAAAACCTCTCAGAAGGCCCGAGGGCTTCCGAGAAGTCCCGCCGCCTTCCGAGAAGGCCTTCTCCCTCTCGTGTCCCCCCTCGCTCGCCGCCGAGCTGGGGCCAGCCGGGACGACCCCTGGGGGGGGGCGGACTGTGCGCAGCCCGAGGCCTCACCGCTCGAGGTCTTCCTCCTCCGTCCCCCCCGGCGTCGGCAGGCGCAGGACGAGCTGGAGTCCGAGCAGGCCGCCGCCTTCGGCGGCGTCGCCTCGGAGGAGGCCGCGCTCGAGGGCAAGGAGGCGCGCACGGGCGCAGGAGGGATCTCCCTGACGCCGTGGATGTTTCGACATCCAGCCCAGGAGGGGAAGGTACAGCGCCGTTTTTAGTACATGCTCCGCGTGCGGATCATGTATAAAAATGCATGGATTTAGTACTACAAACAACGATGAGCTCATGCATGAATTCATTCATGCATTAATCATGTGTTAAAAATCCTATTTTCTTTTAAACATCCTATGTATTCAAAGCTGCCCTGTACCCACAGTTACCGCTACCCTCCCCTCGTTTTCCCTTGTTTGGGCCTCCTGGGAGGCCTTCGTCGCCACCGCTGGATTCGCCTCGAGATCCTGATCCAAACGCGCCCCTTGGAGAGGTCCAGGGAGCAGCAGCATCGGTCCCTTTTTTGGCTTCCCCCGATCCAGCGGTTTGGAGACTTTCCCACGAGGACCTCAGCTTGCGTTGGACCGCTGGACATGGTGCCTTTCTGCCCCCCCCCTTGCCCCGCCCCCGGAGTGTTCCACCAAAACGTTCAGGACCCCCCCCCCTCCGCGGGGCAGGAGCCATCCACATCTAGCTTGAGGTCCTGGGGGTGCGTCCCCCAGTCGATGGTTTGGACACGTCCAGGGCATGGACATATCCAGGGCCTCGGGGGGATCGAGGATCGACCAGGAGACGCGACCATCGAGTTGTCGATGGCGGCTCTTTTCTGCGCTTTGGGCATTGTTGCACCCTTCCAGCGCGTACTTTGCGCCACGTCTGGATTCGCCTCGAAATTCTGGAGAATGCTGATGATGCTGATGATGATGCTGCGGCGGTGATAGTGCTGCTGCTGATGATGAGGATGATGATGATGAGGAGCAGGAGCAGAGGGATGAGGAGAGGCGATGACGATCATGCCGATGTTTATGATGGTGACGATGTTCATCACGATGACGATGATCATGTTACGTATGCTGTAGATAATAAAGCTGATGCTGATGATGTTGGTGGTGGCGGTGATGATGATGCTGATGATGATTATGATGATGCTGATGATTATTATGATGATGAGCATGATGATGATGATGATTGTGATGCTGACGATGATGATGATGATGGTGGCAATGACACTATCAATAATTATCCAGCTGCCTGCGGTACGCCCCGCCACCGCGCCAGCGCGGCAGCACAGCATACAGGTGTTTGAGTGAAAGACTCATGTTGGAGCTTCTCTGGGGCTTCGGGGGTCTCTTGGAAGCCCTTGAGGTTCGTGTTGGAGGCGTTTGGTGTCCTGTAGGGGGGCCCCTCGGAGGACCCTGTTGGGCTGTCTTGGACCTCTCTTGGGGACCTTCTGGGCCGTCCTGGGTTTTCTGAAGCCAGAAAGGGCCGGTATGCTGACATCCGTCAAAACCCTAATGGAATTGAGATTTGTGATTGCTTTCGAGGGCCTCTTAGGCGTCCTCTTGGAGCTTCCGAGCCCGTTGTGGGGACCTCTGGGGCCGTCTTGAGACCATCTTAGGCCATACTGGGGCTCTCTTGAAGTGTGTGGAGGTCTTCTTGGGCAGTCTTGGGCTGCCTTGGAGGCTTTTTGATTGCGCTGGGGCGAAGCTGTTTGCCTTGGGGCGTTTTTTTCTGTATTTTGACGATTTATTATGATTTAATGTGTTTTTAGGTTGATGTGTTGCTCACTCTATGTTTATCCGCTCGGGGGGGGTCTGGAAAGATAGAAGCGTCTCGAAACCGTGCCCCAGTCGGTTGAAAAGAGGTGGACATTTTACAACGACGCTCGCAAGCCTGGGATCGGGCCCGCCATAGAACTTATTAAAGAAACTGTGCCAGACAGCAGAGGCGCAGTCTAGCATGCCCACACGTGCACATGGCACGGTGGCTGATGATAATGATGATGATGCTGACGATGATGATGATGCTGACGATGATGATGATGCTGATGATGCTGATGAGGATGATGATGATGATGAGGATGATAATGATGATTATGATGCAAATATTGATGATGCTGTTTCTGATGATGATACTGACGCTGGCGATCGTGATGGTGGTGGTGGTGGTGGTCGGATTGTGATGATGATGATGATGATGATGTTGATGTTGATGGTGATGATGAGGAGGCGGGTGGGGATGATGGCGAGGATGAGGGTGATGGTGGTGATGATGATGATGCCGATGATGCTGATGATGATTATGTTGATGATGCTGATGCTAACGATGATGACGATTATGATGATGATGATGACGATGATGATGATGATGATGATGATGACGATGATACTGATGCTGATGATGATTCTGCTGCTGATGATGCTCACGCTGGCGATGGTGACGGTGGTGGTGGTGGTCGGATTGTGATGATGATGATGATGATGATGATGATGATGATGATGATGATGATGATGATGATGATGCTAGTGCTGATGATGAGGAGGAGGAGGATAGGGATGCTGCTGACTATGATGTTGATAATGCTGATGATGATGCCGATGATGATGCCGATGATGATGATGCTGATGATGATGATGCTGATGCTGATGCTGATGTTGATAATGATGATGCTGATGAGGATGCTGCTGTTGGTGATGATGGTGATGAGGATGATGATACTGATGCTGATGCTCATGATGATGCTGCTGTAATCCTTATGCTGATGCTACTGCTGATGATACTGCCGATGGTGATGATGAGCACGATGGTGGGGAGGGTGCTGATGCTGAGGATCAGGCCGAGGATGATAATGCTGAAGCTGGTGATGTTAGTGATGATGCTTCTGACTATGATGATGCTGTTGATGCCGATGCTGATGATGATGCTGATGACAATGATGACGATGGTGATGATGATGACGACGATTTGAATGCCGATAATAATGCTGATGATGCTGACGATGCTGATGCTGATGCTGATGATGATGATGACGCTGATACCAATGGTGTTGATGACGACGGTTGGAAGGACGATGATGTTGATGATGATAATGTTGATGCGGATGATGCTGATGATGATGATGATGCTGACATGATGCTGACAATGCTGAGGATTCTGAGGAGGATGATAATGCCGCGGCTGCTGCTGCTGATGATTATGACAACAATGATGGCGAATAGGATGATGACCCGATTGTTGATGATGATACGGACGATGCTGATAATGATGATGCTGATGCTGATGAGGATGCTGATGTTGCTTGTGCTGGTGCTGATGATCGTGTTTCTGCTAGTTATGATTGTCATGCTGATGGTGTCGTTGGTGGTGGTGATGATGATGAAGGTGGTGGTGGTGGTGGTGGTGATGAAGATGCAACTGATGATGATGCTGATGATGATGATGATGATGATGATGCTGATTGTGGTGGTGATGATGATTATGCTGATCATGGCCAAGACGATGGCAATGAGGAAAAGGACCAGGATCGGGTAGCGCATAGTGGGCGATGAATTTCGGCTGGCCGAGCCAGGCGGAGGAGAACGCCAGCTCGCAGTTCGTCGCGTCGAACGCGTCGATGAACGAGGTGTACGAGGACCTCTTCATGTTTGGAGTGAGGGGAAGAGGGACGAGGAGGAGGAGGAGGAGGACGCTGCTACTGCTGCTGTTGTTGCTGCTGTTGCTGCTGCTGATGATGATGATGGCGATGATGACGATGCCGACGATCATGGTGATGCTGATGCTGATGATGATGATAGTGATGATGATGCTGCTTCTGATGATGATGATGCTGATTATGATGATGATGATGATGATGATGATGATGATGATGATGATGATGATGATGATGCTGATGATGATGATGATGATGGTGAAAGTGATGATGCTGATTATGATGATGAGCATTATGTTGCTGGTGATGCTGATGATGGTGATGCTGCTTCTGATTATGATTATGCTGATGTTGGTGATAGTGATGATGCTGAGTATTATGATGCTGATTCTTATGATGCTGATTATTATGATGCTGGTTATAGTGATGATGCCGATGAAGATGATGATGATTCCGATTCGAAACATAATGCTGCTGATGATGATTATGTTGATGGACATGATGATGATGATGATGATGATGATGATGATGATGATGATGATGATGATGATTATTCGTATTATGTCGATGATGATGCTGACGATGATTTTGATGATGCTGATGATGATGCTGCTGCTCATGATGCTGCTGCTCATGATGCTGATGCTGATGCTGATGCTGCTGATGCTGATGATGATCATGCTGCTGATGATGATGATGATGCTGATGCTGATGGATGCTGATGCTGATGATAGTGATGGTAATGATGATGAGGCTGCAGGTAATGATTATGACCAGGTGTAAGCGACTGCTGCTGACTTCTCTCGTCGCGAAGATGGACTGTGGGTCAACAAGACAGTACGAAACAGACCCTGTTTCGACCTGGTGTCCACCGGGGGCTTGGCGTGTCGGCTCAGGGTCTCGGGCCCGCCACGACAGGCGTGCGTGCCCATGTTACTGAGCATTTTCTCAGCATTGCCTCCCTCCCTCCCTCACTTCCTCGATCCCCCCGTCATGCATTTCTCCCCCCTCCCAAGACCACCGATTTCCAGATCTCTGGATTTGCTCGGGCCTCCAGCGTCTCTTCAGCCAGGGCCCACTTATTTTCTCGCGGATGCCGTTCTGATTTCGGAGGCGTCCAAAAAAGGGGGTGAGGGTGTGTGTGTGTGTGTGGTGTGTTTGCTCTTGCGCTGGTGCAGCCAACTCTGCCTCGCCGCCGAAGGAACAAGTGTGTGTGGATACCATGGCCAGGGCCACTCAGTCTCCCTGCTTTCGTGGCCTCCTCTTCTCGGCTTTTTCAGTGCTCTCGCTGCCCCACCCCTGTCCGCGCACATGCCTCGGGCCACGATGCCCTAGCCCCCCTCTGTTTCTGCCCGCTCTTCTCGGCGCACCCGACTGTCCCGGAGGCCAGAAGCGCTCCCCCCCCCCCGAGCGCCGAAGTGTTGTTGAAGGAGGCACCGACCTGACTTGTGTGTGCAAGCCGCCCTCTGGGGATGGGCAGCAGCAGACCCCCCGAGCCCAGGGACGCCCCCCCGCGCCAGACCACGAGCTCTCGGAAGAGGCTCCGTTTGACTGGTTCTCACAGGACGCCACTCCTTGGGATGCGCAGGCAGCAGTCCTGGAGCCCTGGAGCGCGCCCCCCACCCCCCCCCACGCCGACATGTTGGAACCCACTCCGCCCTGATCTGTTCGGGACATCCTCCTGGGATGGGCAGCAGGGGGGGAGGGGGGCAGGACTCTGGTGGCACCCGTCAACGGCGAGGTGCAGCCCGCCCCCGTGGTATGGACGGGGCCACCACGGCGGCAGCGTTGGATGAGGATTCTGGGTGCGTCGTCCGTGTCCATGGGTTTGTGCACCGCGAGCGTCCAAGGGGCGGGCGGATCCTTCTCGGCCGGTCTACCTTCTGGGAGGAGGCGGGGACGAGGCGCTTCGACGCTTCCGGCCTCTGTAGGTTGGCCCCCCTCGGCACTGGAGGACTCGCATCGCAGGCCTGGCCAGGCCGACCCCCCGGCCCAGGGTCCCGGGCAGAGGGGGCCCGCGCGCTGCACACCGCCGCCGCCGCCTTCCAGCGGGAGCGCGTCCCCTCGGTCCGGGGGCGGCACGTGGCTCCCCGGGTCCAGCGCGAGGCGGGGGGGGGGGGCGGAGCGGGCGTGGCGTAGGGGGGGGCAGCAACACACCCGGCTTGCCTCCAGGGTGCCCTGGTGTTCCCGGGCCTCGGTGATTTTTCGACCCCACGGGTTTCGAGGCTCGGTTTCTTGTGGAAGGTTTCTCGTGGCGGAGCTCCTGCTGTATCCGCATGTTGCCTTTTGGCCTCCCTTTTGTGGCCTCGGGCAGTCGTGGCGGGTGCTGCGTCGTGGGGGGGCAGTGGCGTCGGAGGAGCAGGAGTGCCCGTCCACATTCTGCCCTTTGGGCCTCCTGTGCCTCGTGGCCTCGGGCAGGCGTGCTCATGGCTGGTGGCCTCCTGCGGGGGCTGCGGATTCGGGCGGGAAGGTGCGGGCGATCATGGGTGGCCCTTTCTGTGCCCTGGAGGGACCCCCTGGGTCCAAAAGAGGGCGCCAAAGGTGCACGTTCCCCCCCCCCTCCCCCCTCCGTTCATTTTTGTCGCCTTTCATCAAGTAGCTCCACGCCCAGCGCCTCCAAAACCTGACAACAGGCAGCCGCACTAGCAACGGATGGATGTGCCAGTGCCTTGCGGGGGGCCTGGGCCCGCTCCACCGCCACGAGGGAGGCTGACCAACCCAGGACCCCCCGACACGGGGGCTCCCATTCAGCTGCGAGCGGGAGGGAGGCCAGGGAGACCCATACGCAGCCCAGTGGAGGCGAGCGCTTCGCCTCTGGGCCTCACCTCCACTGGGCCACACGAGCCCATCTGAGCGGAGACCCATACGAGCCCATTTGAGCGGACTTGCCTCGCACGGACCATTGCCGAGCCTCTGACCCGAGGCAGGGCTCTGCCCAACGGGGGACCCTGGGGCCAGCCCGAGGCGGGCCTTTGTCGAGGTGGGGGGCGGGGTTCTTCCCAGGCGGGCGCTCTGCGGTGTAACTTCTGGGCGCTCCTGGCAGCTGGGCGGCCTTGTGTGAAAGATCAAGAGGTCTGTCATGTATCATTCGACGCAGTGAACTGACCATGATTTTGCTGCTCTGCTGACGCCACTTGAATGCTCTCGCTCGCTCGCTCGAAGATGATGCAGGCGCCCCGCTCCCACGGCGGTTTGGCTCACGGTGGGAGGCGAGGGCGGACGCGCGGCACCTTGCCTTTGAGGTGGTGACGAAACGATCAGCCTATCACGTTCAGCATTGACAGTATTACCACTAACGCTTGGCCGGATCCCTCTTCGCTGGGCCTCCTAAATGGGGTCGGAGTCGAAGGGTCGGGGGATCGCGCCGCATCGCCGATGCATCGGCGACGCGGCCGGGTGCGGAGCCCGATTTGCTGCACGTCGATGTCGCCGACGTCGACGATGCATCGCCGATGTATCGGCGATGAGGCGCGACCCTCCGAGCCTATCTACTCCGACCCCATGTATCGCTCGCCACCCACCAAGCCACCCCAACCCAACCCGAAGGCCCAAATGCCAGTGTGTGTGTGGGGAGGGTGTCGGGGAAATTTAAAAACAAATCACGGTTGGAACCCGTACCCCGCCAAGCCGAACGAACCCTAGGTCTTCGTGTCAGGTTGGGGTGGTCTGGTGCTCGGAGAACATGGACAAAACACATGTGGAACCCGTACCCCGCCAAACCCGAACCTTGGGTCTTCGGGTCAGGTCGCGGTGGTCTGGTGGCAGTCACTCAAGGAGGCCTCTACAGTCAGCCCACATCGTGAGGATGGGCAACCTCCCCAGGGGCACCCTCGCATCCCTGCCTCCTCTGTCCATCCTTGGCCACTTTTCGTTCGCCGCGCCGCGCTCGAAAAGCTTCGACATGGGCGTCCAAGGCCCTCGCATCCTTCTCGCGCATCCTTCTGATACGGGCCGACTGTATCTTCTCGGCCGGCCAGTCCACCACGCACGGGCCTGCCGCACAGGCCTTCGGCGCGCCCAGGACGCGGCTCCCTGGGAACCGCGGGTGGGGGGGGGCTCGCGGGGGGGGGACTCCCCGGGGGGGGAGGGGCTCGCGGGGAGGGGGCCTCGCGGGGTGGGGTGGGGAGTGCTCGCGGGTCTCAGGAGGGGGGGGCCTTCCGCCCCCTCCCGGCAGCTCCTTGGGATCCCGTCCAGGAGGAGGGGGGCCCCTGCGTTCGCAGCAGACCGCTCCCGGGCGCCCCGCCCCTCTGCGCGCCGCCGAACGGGCGGTGGAGACAGTCAATTGCAGACGTTGTCTCGTCGTTGGCGCGTGTGTGCGCGTGTGTTCGGGGCGTTGGTCCGTACCCACTTCGGGCGTCCAGAGGCACCCTCCACGTGCGCTGGCTCCGGTCCGGTCCTCTGTTCTTGCTGCGTGCGCCAGGCACGCCTTTGGACACCCCCCCTCTCAATTCTGAGTGGTAGTAGACCCGACCGTGTCCAGCCCCAGCGCCTCGCTGCGTCGGATCCACCAGCCGCGACGGGAACGTCCGTCTTCAGATGCGGGCTGCAGGGCGCGTCGTGCAGATCCATCGCCGCACCAGTCTCGAGGGTGTCGGTGGGTCGGTACGATCGAAGTGGAGATGCGAAGCTAATGGGTACGAATGCTAACGGCTTGGAGCTGGCTGGGGGTCTGAGGTGGCCCAGCATCGGTTCCAGCGCCCAGGCAAGAGGGGGCGATGTCCGATGTTTGTGTTCGAGGAGGTTTTCGCCTTTTTCGGTCTCTGGGGGCTGTTTCCAGGTCCTGGGACGGTCAAAAACGGACCTGGGGTGATTTGTTGCACCAGATGGACCCATGGAGGGGTCTGGACACAAATTTTGAACGGATTTGTCTTTTATATCCGTTTTGACATATTTCCCCGAGGTCCAACCAGCTCAGAACCCCGCGGCCGCCTTCGACTGACACCAGATCCTGTTCATTTTGCAGAGGACTTCCTGTCGGTGTCGCCTTGGACGTTGTCCACCGCAGACAGATGGCCGCCTGCCCAACAGCGGCCGTCGTCCGTTTTGGACAACATTTGTTGTTGAGCATCGTGCCCATGTTTTCCGTGCCCCATGCGGGCGGAAGCCTCGAACCAGCGGTGCCGATGCCCCTGCTGTTCTCCCCGGGGCCGCGCCGCGGCGGGGGGAACGCGGTGCTGTCTACGGCTCGAGCAGCGAAGCTCCTCTCCTTGCCTCGAGGAGGGAAAAACGGCATAAGCATGATTTCTTGGAGGTCCGCCCAGATTCCGTGAATTTGCGTTGGACCCTCCACCCTGGCGCGCAGAGCGCGCCAGGGGCGCCGCCGGAGGCGCCGCCAGGGGGATCCAGCGCCGATCCACAACAGATTCGCGCGGACGTTCGACAACTTGTGTTTATGTTTATGTCGTTCTCTGTTCCCCTCTATCGCGGTTTCCAGCAAGCGAGTGTCCTGCCGCTGGTTCGATCGCGCTCGTCGTTGCAGGTTTCTTTTGAGCCTGCGGCGCCGGACGCGACTTGGTGCGATGGGCGCAGCTAGACTTAGTGTTGTCACGAGTGCGTATGTTGACGTGCTGGTTCTTGGCTTGTCCTGTGCTGCGGGCTGTGCTCGAATGGGGGACGCTGATAATCTGACCAGTACGTCACCACTGGGCCGTCATATTCCCACACGGCACGCAGCGTGTGCGACGCCCATCAGGAGCAGGCCAACTCCTCCGACGATCAGGCCGACGCAGCGGAGGCGCAGGGGGAGGGTCTGCGGCGGGGTGGACGGGGTGGAGCGTGGCTTGGGGTCAAGCGCTTACAAGACTACGTGTTGGGCAGCCTGTTTCGTCCACAAGGCCTGAGCCACAGATTTCGGTCGATTTTGCCTCGACTTGCCCGTGACATTTGATTGCGATTGTGGCCTCTCGCCTCTCGGACCAACCGCGTCCTCCCAACTGAAGTCTTTGGACCGCCCGACTGGGGGCCACGGGGTGGATGCCGAGGATGGCCCAGGAAACACAAGATGGTGCAAAGTTGCCAAAGGAGGGGCGGTGCAAGCCATATAGAATCTTGGTTTACGGGCGCAACCAGAAATTTGATTTTAGATTGACTGTTTAACTGACTGACTGACTGAACTGACGGCTGCATCACCAATGCCGTTAGATGGCAGTTTTATTTCCAGGAGTGAGGATATTTTGCTGGCAGTTTCGAGGCCGTGGGTTTAGGATATTTCGCTGGCAGTTTTGAGTCCAGGGTGTGAGGATATTTAACTGGCAGTTTTGGGCCAGGGGCGGTGAGGATATGTCGCTGGCAGTTGTAAGGCCAGGGGTTGAGGATATTTCGCTGGCAGCTTTAGGCCAGGGGCTGAGGATATGTAGCTTGCAGGTTTAGGCCAGGGGCGGTGAAGATATTTCGCTGGCAGTTTCAAGCGAGGGGTGGGAATATTTGGTTTGAACTTTCAAGTCAGGGGCGTGAGGATATGTCGGTGGCAATTTTTCAGCCAGGGGGTGAGGAGATTTCGATGGCAGTTTTAGGCCAGGGAGGTTAAGGATATGTCGCTGACAGTTTTAAGGCCGTGGGTGGAGGGTATTTCGCTGGCAGTGTTAGGCCAGGGAGTGAGGATATTGAGCTGGCAGTTTTAGGCCAGGGGCGATTCGGATATTTCGCTGGCGGTTTCAAGCGAGGGGGCTGAGGATAGATTGCTGGCAGTTTTATGTCAGGGGTTTAAGGATGTTTAGCGGGCAGTTTGAAGCGAGGGTTGTTGAGGATATTTCGCTGGCAGTTTTAAGCGAGGGGTGTGATGATAGTTCACTGGCAATTTTCAGGCCGCAGGTTATGGATGTTCCGCTGGCAGTTTTAAGTCATAGGGGTTGGGGATATTTTGCTGGCAGTTTCAAGCGAGTGGTGTGAGGACATTTCGCTGGCAGTTTTTGGCCAGGGGTGGTGTGGATATTTTGCCGGCAGTTTTAGGCCAGGGGTGAGGATATTTTTCTGAGGGGTGTGAGGATATTTCGCTGGCAGTGTGAAGCCAGGGCGGGGAGGATATTTCGCTGGCAGTTTTAGGCTAGGGGGTGAAGATATCTCGCTAGCAGTTTTCAGTTGTGTGTGATGATATTTCTGACGTCAGGGGGTTGAGGATATTTTGCTGGCAGTTTCAAGCGAGGGGGCTGAGGATATTTCGCTGGCAGTTTGTAGTCCAGGGGGTGTGGATATTTAGCTGGCAGTTTTAGGCCAGGGGCGGTGAGGATATCTCGCTGGCAGTTTCGAGCGAGGGGTGTGAGAATGTTTCGCTGGCCGTTTTAAGCGAGGGGCGTGAGGGTATGTCGTTGGCAGTTTTAAGGCCGGGCTGTGAGGATATTTCCCAGACGTAACCGAGCAGCACTATGTGCCACGCCAGGGCTGTCACACTATGTGCCACGCTCTCTGTACACTTCGGATAAGGAAGCGGATAAGGTGGAAGAGGAGGGGGGCGGTGGGGGAAGGAGGATAGCGACGTCGTGAGGGGGGGCGACTGGTGGGGAGGGGGAGGAGGAAAAGGAGGAAGAGAGGGAAGGCGTCGGACGAGGAGGAGAATGAGGAGGTGGACGACGAGGAGGGCGGAGAAGGCTGAGTACGATCAGGGAGTGGGAGAGGGAGGAGGCGGCGGAAGGAGGAGCCGTAGGAGCTGGACGACGGGGGGGGACGGGTAAGAGGGAGGACGGAGGACGAGGACGAAGAGGAAGTGGCGAAAGGCGGAATGAAGGTAGGGCCTGTGAGGAGTCGTGGTCGGTGCGGGCATGCCACGCAATGCAGTGTTGGGTCTTCCGCTGCGCCCGTAGATAATGTCCCCCCCCTTGGCGTGGGGCTGGCGGGGGGCTAAGGGGCGAGCTGCCTGGTGTTCTCGGTTCGCGGGGGACGTTCGTCATTGGCGCAGGCGAGCTGCAACCCGTGGAGGCTTGAGATGGATGGGATGCCGAGATCACCCAATGGCCCTCTCGGGCTACTCCAGCAGTTCTCGGGCCATGAGGTGGGTGAGGCGAGTCAGAATTGTTGGGGCTCAGGATGCGGATAGTGATGATGGTGAAGACGACGATGTGGGCGATGACAATGTGATATAGATCGACCGGTTGAGTATTGACCAGTTGGATTTTGCAAAGGGTTCGGGGGTCTTCCTGTCTTTTTCTCGTGTTCTCCTGGTGAGTTTCTCGTAAGCCCATGCGCGACTGTGACCAGAAGAGGCAGGGGAGGCCACTCGGCCCTGGTGAGGCCCGAGGTGCGAGGTTGGTTGGATGTGGGGGGCCTGTGGAGGGCTCCTCGGGTGTCGGCAGTGCGCCCCGAATCTGCTCAGCGCCGACGTCTCAGATACGTTCGGCAGCAGATAACAGGAGCCTCGCGTGCGCTTGCAGTTCCGTCTTTGGAGTGCGTCAGCGTCGAAGAGTGTCCAGTAGTCGATGAGATAGCGCCGACTCAACGTCGACTGGCGTCGAGTTGGCGTCGGTTCGCGTCGATCAGCGCCGACTCGCAAGAGTCTACGAGATGGTATGGGATGCTCCCATGAGTTGCCACCGAAGCTGCAGGGGCGATGCGGTGCGATCCTCCGACGCCACCCGCCCTGGCCCACTGAGCGGCAGCCAGACCTCTCGTCCTCCCTCGACCTCCGGGGGCCGAGGCCGTCAAGAGGGACGTGGCCATCGAAGCGACTCAGGAGGCGGCGCAGGACCGCGCGCCGCTTTCTCTGCTGGGAGGGGGGGCGAGGCGCGGCCGGGCCCTCCGAGCCCGCCCGCCTCCCCCGGGCAGCGTGGCTCGTGTCGGGGGGCTCCCTGCTGGAGGTGCAGCCACGCATAGGGGCACCTCTGGGGATCTCTCTCTCTCTCTCTCTTTCTCTCTCTCCTCCCGTCCACCCTCCTCTCGTCGCCCTCTCCGGAGGAGCACCCCAGAGGAACACGCGCGACTCGGGCGTTCCTTCGGCTCGGGTTCGCTCCTCTTCCTCTCCCTTCCTCCCTCCTCCCTTCTCTCTCCTCCTCCGCTTTCTCCTCCTCCTCCTCCTCCTCCTCCGCCTCCTTCTCCTCCTCCTCCTTTCCCGTAACCATTTTGGCTCAAGTTTCGGCTCGAGAGGTGCCGCCCCTGCAGGAGCCTGCCAGCGCAGGCGAGGGCCCCCCCCGCGCGCGCCGAGACCAGCGCTCGGCCACGGCGTCTCCCCGTGAGGACGCCGCCCATCATCGAGCGCGACTTCGCCGTGCGGCGGATCGCGCCCTCCTGCACGCCTGGGCGGGGCGCAGTTCGCCCCGTTTGCTCGCGCAGCTGGAGGGCGCCGCCCGACGGTTACGAGGACACCACGGATCGTCACCTGGCAGGATGGCGCCGCCCCTTTCACCTCAGCCAAGGATCCTCCGCGGCCCGAAGAAGCCGCACTGGGGTTGCCCATCGTGCGGGTGCAGCACGCACTGGGCGTCGAAGGTCGTCTGCCAGTGTGGCAAGCATGCGCCGCAGCACGTGCAGGTCAAGGCGCGGAAGGCGGACAAGGAGGCAGCTACTGCAGCCAAGTCGCCAGCACAGCGTGCTGGAGGAGCTGGACTGCAGAATCCCAAGGTGGCACCGTGGAACAAGGATCTCAAGAAGATGGAGCAAGAGCTCAGCGAGACGAGGGCGTTTCTGGCTGCCGCCCGCAAGGCCAACGGCTCTCAGGCTCCTGCAGATTACGACATGGAAATCGTCGGTGCCGCTGAGCCCTCGAAGGACGATAACTTTACCAAGCGCGCTGCTTTCCAGGAGAAGATCAACATCCACGAGCGCATGCTCAAGGACCTCAGCTCTCTCGGCCAGGAGGACGGCGAGATGGCCAAGCTCGCCAAGGCGGAGTTGGAGAAGCTCCGCGAGCAGGTCAAGCAGCTCAAGTCGCTTGCAGGCGCTGCACAAGCTGGAGCGCGTGCGCGGCCAGATCACCTAGGGCAGGAAGGATATTGAGGACATGGAGAATAATCTCTTGCAGATGCAGAGCGACATCAATGCCAAGATGGCTGCGGTTGAGGCCAAGGAGGCTTATACTATGGCGCTCGAGCAGCAGGTGGCCCAGCATGCGTCGAAGTTGCCTGGTGCCAAGGAAGTCTTCGCGCCCCAGCTGCCCGAGGACCTATTCACTTTCGACACTGAGGATGCCGAGTTCCAGGGTGAGGATGCCGATGCGGTTGCCGTGCGCGGGTTCGTTGACCAGCCCGTGGCACACCCTCACTGGGCGAGGGTGCAGTCCATGCTGCGGAAGAAAGCGCAGACCAAGTTCGAGCAAGCTGATGCTGTTTCTTCTGCTGATGGTTTCTTTGCTGACGGCAGCGGCAACGCCAACGGGAGCCGCCAAGGCGCAACTGGTGGACCCTGTAGTGCAGACCCCCCTGACCGAAGCAAGCGGCCCACAAATTTCCTGTTCGAGAAGGCGGAGATTGAGTCGCTCTGGGCCAACATGCACAATGCCGAGTCTGGCGAGATCTCCGTTACCAATGACCAGTCCATGGAGATGGTGCAGAACGTCCAGAATACCAGACACAGGAAACTCGCAGGTGGTGGTGCAGCCAGGACTGGGGGACTGGGTGGGTAGTACTACCAGACTGGCCCGTGTATCAGGGCTGCGGATATCTCAGTCCCAGACCGTGGCCCCCTCTCCTCCAGCTGAAGCTGCGGGGTCGCATGTCATAGAGATCTTCAACCCCAATGCGGGCAAGTCGACGTTAAAGAAGCGACTGCAGGCCACATCTTCTCTCATCGCCATGGCTCAGGAGATTGGCTATCTCGACTGGGAGCGCGAAGCTATGAGTACGTGGTCACGAGGGAATGGCTGGCAAGCTATCATCGTTCCTGGGGAGAAGAGCGGGGGGAAACTGGCCTCTGCTGGAGTTGCTGTTTTCGCGCGGATTGGCGTTGGTCTGCGCGGGCCTGTCTACCCCGAGGGCCACCTGAAGGTGGGGCAGGGCCAGACCCAGAGCAGCAGTGCTTTTGGGTCCGAGCTGGTTCCCCATCGGGCTCAGCACGTTGTGATTGATGTTCCTGGGCGGCCGTCGTTCAACCTTTTCAATGTGCATTTGCAAACTGCGGAAAGTATGCCAGAGAAAAATGCCAATATTCTGATGACTATAGGCTTGGCCATGGCGGCGCAGCTATCCCCTTGTATCATTGGAGGTGATTGGAACATGTCCGCGCTTGAGGTTGAAGAGTCCACATTCACGAAGGATGCGAATGTTGCGATTGTCCAGCCATCAGATATAACATGCCGCACTGCGAGGGCCAGCGCCACCATCGAGTTTTTCGCGATGACGTCAGCGGCAGTGCGGCTGCTCAAGGAGATTCGTGTGGATCGGAAATGGCCGGTAAAACCTCATCGGCCTGTCCTAGTGGAGAGGGCCACAATCGGGCACAAGCTGCAGTACCTGACGCAGACGGGCTGCCCGAAGCTCGACGCGGCCATCGTTCACGGGCCTATGCGTCCTGAGCCTGAATGGGATGCTGAGCGATGCTATGCAGAGGCAGCTGTGGACAATTCTTTGAATGGAGAGGTTGATGCGGCATGGCATTTTCTCGGGCAGGCGTGGGCCAACTTTGCTGCCAAGATGGGCGAGCGTCTGTGTCACCTCACTGGTGCCGATGCCAAGCGTGCAGGAGCTACGCCAATGCCGTCCGTCCGAAGTGGGTGGAATACATTTATGAAGGTAAAGATGCCGAAGGTATTCAGAGTATTGCTGATGGCTGGAAATGGCGTCAAGACGGGCTGCAGAGCATTGCGATGCTAAAGGCTTCCAACGTTGCTGGTAACAAGGAGAAGGCGAGCGACGAGGTCCACGGCTTCAATGCTACGCAATACCCTGGTCAAGGTGCGGATCATCGCCTAGACGCTACGGTGGCGCAAGCCCGACGACTGTTACCGTCGGCGGCAACCCCGGCGTCGGACATCAACTGGCGGCTGGAAGAGGCCGATGTGGACGTGCACCTTGCAAAGCAGGCCGCTGATCGTGATAGTGGTGCTAGTTGGAAGGCGCAGTGCGACGGTGCCAGCCATAACGGAGCAGGCAGGCTACACCGAGTCACGGCTTACAAGCACGTACAGGCTCCCACGGTCGTCACCGACAGGCACAGCGTGTTCTCAGCGCGCCCCCAGCGCATCGTCGAGGACATGGAGGACAAGTACGCGAAGTTGTGGAAGGCGTCCACTACAGCGCCTGAGGCATGGGTGCCTGACCGTTCAGCTTTGGTTCGGGCTACCCGTGCCAGATCCGTCGGGCATCACGTTCCTTCCCCACGAGGACTTCGAGTAGCCTGGACGGATTTCATCCTTCTCACTTTCCGCATCTCAGCGATGCTGCACTAGGTGTCCTTGGTTGCCTGTGGGGGGCCAGTGAACGGATCGGGCTGTTACCTCGGCAGCTCACCTGGATGGTAATGCCCATGCTGCCAAAGAGCATGGGAGGGCACAGGCTCATCATTTTATATTCTGTCAGCTATCGGGCATGGCAGCGCGCACGTCGGCCAGCGCTCAGTGACCTGCAGAGGCACATCGAAAGGAAGTGCTGGGGGGCTTCTTCAGGCAGGAGCGCCATCGATAGCGCGTGGCTCCTCGCGGCCAAGACGGAGGCGAGCGGGGTGCAGGGCCGTCGCGCTGCCACGGTGATCGCCGACTACAGCAAGTACTCTGAGACGATACCCCTGGACAGCGTGAGAGACAAGCTCACCAGGCTCGGGGCCTCGACCGCGCAGCTCAAGCTGGTCTACAACCAATGGAAGGGGCCGCGCGCCATTCGTCTTCGCACACACCACGGAGGACGACCTGTTCATGCAGTTGACGGCATACCTGCTGGGGATGGCTATGCGGACATAGTTATCAAGGCGCATGCGGTTGAGGAATACGACAGGTATGTATCCTTGTTTCCCCTTGTGCGGTTCTCGTCCTACATCGACGACGCCTCCCTCGGCCTGGAGAGCGGCTCCCAGAAGATGGCCATCGAATTGGCGGTCGCTGCTGCCGAAGGTTTCCAGGCTACGGCTCAAAGACTTGGGGCCAAGCTGGACGATAAGTTCGCGGTCGTGGGGGGCTCTCAGGACATCACCAACGAGATTGTGCACAGACTTGGGGTCGATGGCAAGGCTGGCACGAGGACCGCGCCGTATCTCGGCGCGGATTTCACTGGAGGAAGGGCGCGAGGAGCTCCCAATAACAGAGGCAAGTACAGGCAGAGACCCAAGCATCACTCGCAGCGGCTTCGCAATCTCCAGAAGTTCCGTCGTGCTATACCGACTCAGGCAACGGCCGGAGTCGGGCGAGTGTACCGCACAGGGGCGCGTCCTGCGCTCACGTACGGGATCGAGGTGAACGGCGTCGATGGCGGCGAGCTGGACAGGCTCCGTAGGAGCTACCACAAGTACCATAAGCCGCACCGCGGATGCGTGTCTGCTAGTGCAAAGCTGGTACTTTTGGGGGACCCTGCATGAAAGGAAGCATTCTCCCCTGCTCTTCAATGGTGCCGTATGCTGTGGACATCAGAGGTCCAGCCCCACGTTTCAATCGCATCGGCGGCGACTCTATTCAGCTGGTGGAAAGCGGCAGTCCAGGATGCAGGAGTGCTACCCAAATGGTCGATGACGAAGGGCCCCCTTCAACGAGCGGCCTTGTCCATTCAGCGTGCAGGTTGGCATCCAGTCACGGGGGAAGAGTGGACAAACCATGTCGGTGAGCAGGTTCGCATTGATCAACTCACTCCCCCGATGCTGCTGGAGCTTTTGGAAGCTGGCCTGGTTCGCCAACATGAACTACGTCTTGGGCTGAAATGGTTTGCTCAGGATAATATGCGAGTGTCTTTCGGTTTTCTTCGTATGCAGGCGAGGCCCAAGAGTCGGAAGTACAATGCTCATTAGAAACTCTGTATCTACACGCGTGCTGTCGCAGGTGTCTGGACAAAGGCTCGAGCCAGATCTGAAGGATACATCGCGGATGGGAAGTGCGAGTGCGGGGCCATGGACGCACTTGCGCACAGGCTAGCAGACTGCCCCCTTCCACATATTGCTGAAGCTCGACGAGAGGCTGATGTCGGACCCGAGCTTCTCCAGTGGATACGCGACCATCCCGATGAACGGCGACATCTGAGTGGCTGCTTCACGTTTCAGGATCAGGACATTCCCCCGATGAATGCTGGAGTGCAGGCTTGTGTTGTGGAAGCCCAGGGCAATAACTCACTCGCCACCCCTGAAACGATGGTGGCACATTGCCTGGAGGCGGAGGTCGAGCTGGCCGAGTTTGCGATCGACGGCTCGTGCTCCAAGCCGGCCTTGGCAACGCTGCAGAGGGCTGGCTGGGCAGTGGCGCTGCTCCATCCTGACTCAGATCTGCCATTGTGCTCAATGTACGCGCCTGTCCCCGCTACGTTGCCACAGTCGTCGGCTATGGCGGAGTACCTTGCGCTTGCATTCACTGGCCAATTTGCTGATCGTCGCTGTTGGGCCCATGCGGATTTCATGGGCACAGTCAAAGCACGAATGGCGCCAGCGGAGAAGCAGGTTGCAGTCAATTCCATCTGCGGCGGGGTCATGGCCTTTGCTCAGGACATGGACGGGTGCAAGTACATCGAGAGAGTGGCGCACGTGAAGGCTCATCGTTCGGGCGAAGAGTATGCGCAGCTCACCCCTGAGATTCGCAGGCTCACCGATGCGAGCGTTGTGGCCGACAGGTTTGCACGCGCTGGAGCAGAGATGCATCCCCAGGTCGATCCAACGTTCCAGGAGGCGATGGACGAGAGTCAGAAGCGCGTGTCTGACCTCACCAAGCTCGTAGCGCACATCCTGCCGCTTTATCCCAAGGGTGAGGAGCGCTGGAAGAGGGCGACCACAGGTTTCAAGAAGGTACGCAGCACCCGCACGCAAGGGTGGCATCAGTGGATTGACGCGGTTATGGGGCAGCAGTGATCCCAGTGCCTCCAGCTCAGGCGACAAGGTGAGCGTGGAGAGTTCACAGGTTGCCGAGGCACGCCGTCTTTCTTGGTGGATATCCTCCAGGCGCCGCTTGGCCACAAGCTGATTGCTGTCAACCAGAAGGGGGATCTTACCTCGGTCAGCGGCGGCACAGTTTTCGTATGCGTTGGATGTGGAGCTTGGGCACAGCAGCGGAGGAAGCTCAAGTTGCGCTCCTGCATGTGCCACCGACAACGAAGGGGGCTGCGGTCCTCCACAACTTGCGGCAAGGAGTGGGTCTCATAAGAAGCTTGCCAAGTTCATCGATGCCACCGTCCAGCTCAAGAGGATAGCGCGCGAGGTGGCCAAGCCAGTCACGGTCACCACGTCAATCAAGCGTGCTGATCCCGAGGGCCCCTATATATTCGAGGTGCGCATGGCGGCCCTGCACGAGCGTATCAAGCATAGGGAGCTTGAGCGGCAGCGCCGGGAAGATGAGCGCAACACTATCCTTGGGCGAAATTCGTTCGTGAGCACGTCTGAGGAGAAGGCCAGGCCAGTTAGTGCTGGCGGCAAAGCAGGGGACATTGACACGTAATTGGTGTACTGGTGAGTCCGACTGACGGCCAGTACTGCATGCTGGTTTCTGGCACGGCGAGTTCGTGCGCCACGCTGCCTGCGCCGAGGCCCTCGCGATGCTCCAGAGGCAGCCCCAGCTCTACTTCGACTGAGGAGGGGCTGCGCGGGTGGCGGCCGCCGCCGCCCGTCGGATCCCACGACGTGGGCATTGCTCGCTCACTCACTCCTCCTCCTCCTCGTTCTTCTCCTCCTCCTCCTCGTCCTCCTCCTCCTCCTCCCTCGTCCTCGTCCTCCTCCTCCCTCCTCCTCCTCCTCCTCCTCCCTCTCTCCCTCCCGCCCTCCCTCCAGGGGCCCAGATGCCGACTGGCTGCATCTGGGGCCTCGGCCTCTCCGGGCAGCAGGAGGGCAAGGGGGCGAACGCATGCTGCTTCTGGCGTTTCCGCGGTGACGGTGTTGATTGAGGAAGGCGACGGAGGAGACAGATGGTGGTGTGGCCCTGCCCTGTCCTGGCTCGTGCCTGCTCGCTCCTTTGTGCTCCCGCTTGCTTCGGCTGCCGCGCGCGGCCCCGACGGACGCTGTGGCTGTGGGCCAGTGTGGCCCGCAGAGCTTGCGCAAATTTTTGAGTCCCAGATCCCAAGCTGCTTCAAGCGCCCTCCTACTTCTAGAGCCGATCTGCTTTGCTGTGTTTTCATATTCTCTGGGAGGTCCTGAGCCCAATCTACTAATCCGCCCTCCTGCCTCATGTTTTTCCCTATTCCGACCGACTTGTATGCCCCAATTCGCAGCGGCTGCGTCCCGCCGTTTGCTTGGCCGCCTGCTGGGCCCCACTCGACGCAGACCCAAAACATCGTATCCTCCTCGGTCCCCGTTCTGGGAGCAGGGCTTGACGCCGCCGCACCGCTGACGAATAACTTCAGGGCCTGAAAGGGGCCTCCTTCGGGTAAGGGGTCGACTACAGAATTGACTTACCCCAAATTCGTCTTCCCGTCGAAGCCCTGAACATACGTATGATATTTGTAGCTCTGCGAGCATTGTTCGTAGATTCGACGAGGAAATCAATCCTTGGGTGCATCAATTCTGTAGTCGCCCCTCTAATTGCCCGACTCCTGTCCCTCCGCCCTTTGCGGCCGCCCTCTTGTCTCTCGCCCCTCTGCTCCATTTGCCTTCAGTTTGCGGTCGCTTCCGCGTCCCGGGAGACGCCCGACCGCCGCGTGATCGCCCCGCGGCCGGTGACCCCAACAAGTGTGCTCTCGGTCTCTCATCGCTTTCCCTTCCTCTCCGGGGGCACGGCCCCTAACGTTCGAGGCCACACCGTGGTGTCCCTGCGTTCTCCCAGAGTACAGGGGCGCCAGGTTATATCTCACTTGTTGGGCGTTGTGCCGTTCGCAGTGAGCTTTGTACGCTGTGGAACGCGTGCCAGCAAACCACTGGCGTGAGCTGCGTGCGCGGTGTCCAAGGTAGTCAGTGGTGCACTTGTCCTCGACACGTCGCCAGTGGAGCTCGAATCGAATCAGGCATGCAACCTACGAGCGTTCCCACCTCAACTTCGGTTCGCACGCCAACGACCACGTTGGCACCAACATCACCACCAAGATAATTTTAGTATACGTGTTACGGTGTGCTGCTTCAAGGTAAAGTGCCCTCACATCTACGAGTTGTTGACACAAGGACGGGGGAGGTAAACAGGCGAGAGGCCGATCATTATTACAACACGTCAACGGTCCCAGTGTAATGAACATGTCGCAGGGTTGATCGTTTTCGCCGTTCTCTTCCCCCCCGTGTCTTCCTCACGGCTGGCATGTTGCAAACCAGAGCGTGCTTTGCTTGGTTCGCAGTTGTATGCGTGCCAGCCCCGAGATGCAACCTAACCCTTGCGTGGAACCGTATGTACCTCAGCGAGGCAGGCGGGATGTCGCGCACTGTGTCCAGCGCCCCCCTACGCGAGCTCGGATAGATTGCGCTGCCGCGTGCGGCACCATGCTGCACCATCCTCTCGTCCCCTGTCGCCCCCCTTTTTGCCACCTGCCCTCTCTCTCCCTTCCCGCCCTTCATTATCCCCGCAGTCTTACCACCCACTCCCTGCAAACATGTGCAGGTGGCCAAGGAAGAGGAGGCTGACGAGAAGCGCCAGGAAGCGGCCGAGGACCATGCCCCTCTTCGTTTTTCGCGTGGAAGGGTCACATCAGGACGGCACGTAATTAGAGGGGCGATGTCTGACAACGGTTCCGGCTGCTTTTAGACGGATGCCGTTATATGTTTCGCGCATGCTATTTCCTTGGCATCAGTCGTTACCAGTTCTGGGATTTCGGCAGCTCCTGAGGTTATGCCTCGTTCTTGTGGGCAACGTCCCCGAATTTCGCCTCTCAGCATGTGTTGTCATGCGTGCTTGAAGGGTTGTACGTGGACTCAGACAAGCTTCACGTTGGGATTGGTTCCTGGGAGTTGTGGCTCTGCGTGGAACCCCTGGCATGATCCTCTGGCGAAAAGCGTTACGGGGGTAGGTGTGGGCGGAGGTTCTTAAAACGCCACGAATTTCGCTCGCGGCGTCTGGGACTGGCTATGGGAGACGCCTGACGATGACGATAGCGACGACGCGGACGACGACGATGACGATGGTGATGACGACGACGATTACGACGACGGACGACGACGACCGACAACCGACGACCGACGACCGACGACCGACGATCGACGACGTCTGACGACGACGACGACGATTCTTGACGACGACGACATTGGACGACGATCGACGACGACAGATGAGAGCGGACGACGAAGGACGACGACCGACGACGACGACGACGCCGTCCTCAGCCGCCATCCCTGCTAGTGCCAGGTAGGCCGGGCCGCACGCAGACCCTCCTGGGTGGCCCGAATGGGTTCTGCTCCTCAGGGGTGGGCGGGGTCGGCACCGTCAGCTCACCAGCATACAGTCAGCCATGATGGTAAGGATGGGGCAACTTTCCAAGGCTAGCCTTGCATCCCTGCCCCTTCGGTATTCGGCCTCCTTCGGCGTTCTGCTGCGCTCCGCGCGGAAAACGTCAACATGGCGTTCCAAGGCCCGTGCATCCTTCGGCGCATCTTTACTACCCTGGTCGAGTGTACGTCTCGCCCAGGTCTGGCATGTCGCTCAGGACGCTCCACGCTTTCGCGCGGTACGGGTCCTGGAGGGTGCACGGGAGACCCCCTCGTGGGTGTGGCAGGGCAGGGGGCCCGTGGGACGGAGGAGCGTCTTGGTCTGCTTCAAGGCCGGCACCCTCTCGCCTTTCCGAGGGCGCGTCCCGGTCGGGACCTCAAGGGCGGATCCAGGTGCGGCGAAGGGGGCCCCTATGGAGTCCCAGGAGAGCGCAACACGTCGGAGTTCTTCCCTCGTTATCGGCGTCGCCGCCGTGGTCGAAGTCGTCGTCGTCGTCGCCGCCGTCGTCGTCGTCGTCGTCGTCGTCGTCGTCGATCGTCGACTGTCGTCGTCGATTGTCGATCGTCGTTCGTCGTTCGTCGCACGCGTTGCACGTCGTCGTCGTCGTCGATCGTCGACTGTCGTCGTCGATTGTCGATCGTCGTTCGTCGTTCGTCGCCCGCGTTGCACGTCGTCGTCGTCGTCGATCGTCGACTGTCGTCGTCGATTGTCGATCGTCGTTCGTCGTTCGTCGCCCGCGTTCGTCCCCCCTTGGGGGCTCGGCGCAGGCCGCCCTCGGGGCCACCGGCGCCTCCGTGGTCGCGCGCGCCGAGGAGGAGGCGCGGGCGCGCCTCCGCGGGGGGGGCGGCGCGGGCCGCCGGGGGGGGGGGTCCCACGGCGCCCGGGGCCCGATGGCGCTGGGGCTCGGCGGCCCGGCCCTGCTGCCCTGGGGTCGGGCGTGTCCCTCCACAGGAGGAGCATTCCAAGATCGTCCAAGAATAGGCTTACTTGAAAAATCCAGAATCGCTCAAAACAGGAACATTCCAAAATCGTCCAACATCGTCCCAAGTCGTCCAAACATCCAGAATCGTACAAAAAAGGAACGTTTCAAAATCGTCCAAAACCGTCCCAAATCGTCCAAAGATCCAAAATCGTACAAAAAAAAGAAAACATTCCCAAATCGTCCAGAACCGTCCAAAATCGTCCAAAATCGTCCAAACATCCAAAATCGTCCAAAAAAGAACATTCCCAAATCGTCCAAAATCGTCCCATCCAAAATCGTAAAAAAAAAAACATTCCAAATACGATTGTGTGATAAATTCTGTTTTTTTTTGGGCTTGTGCGTTTGTGTGTGTGGCAATCCTCCAAGTGTTTCCAGAATCCGCCTGCAGGAGGACCGGCCTAAGGCTGCCCTGCCCCCCATCGCCATGGGGGAGACGGGTCCTGAGGGAAACGAGTCCTGCTGCTTATCGCCGTTCTAGGGAGCTCGGCGCCCTCCGCGGGCCCCAGGATTTGCAAACAACGACTCCAGACGAACGTCTCGTCCTGGGGGAAGGCCCGAAGGCCCTGGGGTGCAGGACCCGTTTCCCTCAGGACCTGTTTCCCCCATGCCAGCCCCCAGCATCACCACACCTGGCCAGCTGCGGGGGTGGGTGGACCTAGGCCTCCCAGACAGGGGTCGGAGTAGATGGGGTCGGAGGGTCGCGCCGCATCGCCGGTGCATCGGCGATGCGGCTCGATGTGGGGCCCGATTTTCTCCGAGCCGACGTCGTCGGTGCATCGTCGGCGGTGCCGATGCATCGGCGATGCTTGGGCGATGCATCGGCGGTGCGGCGCGATCCTCCGACCCCATCAACTCGGACCGAATTTGGGAGGCCTCCAGCGGAGGGGGAAGTCAGCTCCTGCGTGGGGAACTTCAAAGTAGCGACGCGAGGAGGGAGCGGGGAGAAGGCGTCACGGCGACGACGTCGGCTGTAGGCTGCAAGGTTCGGATTTGTTCGACTCGAGTAGGCTGCGACGACGTAGACTGCCCGTCTAACGGATCTGCTCGACTCGAGTTCGACTACTGTTCGGCTGTAGCTCGACTCAAGTACGATTCGAATTCGCTTCAAGGGCATCGACATTCGGCACAGCATCGACGTGTCAGTGGAGCGAGTGGCTTCAGGTAGTTTCCCCCAACGAGCATCTAACTTCCCTCATCGAGGATACAAAACCCTATCCATAATAACAGAGTGAAGACGTGGACTCTCTTAGGTCCCCGTCCGTGCATAAGGGATAATGCATCTGGGCGGTTTGGTCTGATGCATCTGCAGAACAGACCCCCCATTCCTAATGTTCTGGGCTCTCCCAGCTTAGACCCCCTCCGAAAGGGTTAGTGGTCCTTCTATGGCAAATCATGAACCTCCCCCTTTTCCTTCTCGGAACTCCTGGCGCAACCGCACCTTCTTCTTCCCTCCCCGATGCCGCGCGCTCCCGCGCTCGGGGGGGGGGCGTGTGCTCTCGGGACTTGGCCGCAGTAGCACCGAACGCGGCGCCATTGCCTGAGCACAAGGCGGTTTCATGCGGGCACTCAGGCCTGCATCTCGTGCAGCATACTCTTCGGCGGTGAGCGAGGGGGGAGGAGAGGAGGAGAAGGCCTTCTCAGACAGCGGCTGGACTTCTCAGTGGCCCTCGTGCCTTCTGCGACGTTTTCTGTTTCTTCGTGGGAAGGCTCAGACAACTTCTCAGATGGCCGGGGGACTTCCGAGCCTTTCGAGAGGCCCCCAGGCTCGCCGCCGAGCTCTGCATGGCTACATCCTATTCCAACGCCGCTTCCAGTTTTTGTGGTTTGATCTTCCTGTGACCAGTGGTTGGGGTGCCTGCGTGACGGAGGAAGAACGAGAAGGAGCAGGACGTCAGCGGGAGGACGAGGGAAAGGGAACAGGTGAGAGGGACGAGAAGGTACGAGGGGGGTGAGGAGGAAACATGGTGATGAGGGTGCCCACGACGATGGTGACGATGCTGATGTTGATGTTGCTGCAGATGGTGAGCAGGATGCCAGTTGTGATGCTGAGTATGGTGATGATCGGGATGGTGATGATGATGTTCACAATGATGACGATGGCGAGTGCGATTATGATAATGATGATGACGATGACGATGACGCTTCTGATGCTGGTTGTGATGCTGTTGATGATCGCAATGCAGTGCCGATTGTGATGACGGCGGTCTTGATGACGACGATGTTGTGATGATGAGGTCGATGATGCTGGTGACGATGCTGATGATGCAGATCGAAGGAGGCTGTCGCACCGCTTCAAGAGAGAGCGGCCACAGCACTGCGGGCGGTGCGCCCACCCCCGAGACCGAGACCCCCCCTTGCCCAACCCCGGGGGCCGCGCGAGGGCCCAGCTCCCGCGGCAGAACCCACCCCATCCCGCCAAGGACGCGAGCGGTCACCAGGACCCACACGCACGGGCAGACCTCTCTCTTTCTCTCTCAAATGTTTTCTCTATTGATATACATGTGTATATATACATGTAGGCATGTATGTATGTATGTACGTATGTATGTATGCATGCTTGCATGCTTGCATGCATGCATGCATGTATGCATGTATGCATGTATGCATGTATGCATGTATGTATGTATGTATGTATGTGTATAATTATATATGTATGTATGTGTATATATAGGTATATGCATTTGTTTGTGTATATGTATAGGCATATGCATATGTATCTGTATATGTAAATGTATATGTATATGTGTATGTGTATGTCTATGTATATATATATGTATATGCATATGCATATGCATATGTATATGTATATGTATATGTATATGTATATGTATATGTGTTTGTATACGTGTATGTGTATGTGTATGTGTATGTATATGTATATGTATATGTATATGTATATGTATATGCATATGTATATGTATATGCAATGCATATGTATATGTATATGTATTTGTAGATGTAGATGCAAATGTAGATGTAGATGTAGATGTGTGCATGTGTATATATATATATATATATATATATATATATATATATATGTATATATATCCCGGGGGAGCAGGCCCGGGGCTCGAAAACAGCTGCCTCGACCCTCCATGGGAGGACCAGGGCTCATTTTCCCTGTGTTTTTACAGGGTATTCGCGTCCTGGGCCTCGGAGGCCGCCGTCTCCGACCCCCATGGGAGGGCCAAAATAGTCCAGGAGGGCCTCCAGAGGCCCCCACGACGGCCCAAGCGGGCCCCGAGTCGCCGAAAGACCGCTCCAGGACGCCCAAGATAGGCCCATTCGGCCCGAGAGGCCCCCCAAGGCACTCCACGAGAGCGCTTCAAGAGGCCGAAATCGTCAATTTTACGTAGGTTTTCGAACGATTTTGGCCTTCCAGCCTTTCCGGCTGTCCGACGTTCCAAGACGGCTCAATAGGCCCCTAAGATCGCCCCAAGACGGCCCAAGAGGGCCCCAAGACGGCCCCAGAGTCGCCCAAGACAGCCCAACAGAGCCCCAAGACGGCCCCAAGATGCGCCCAAGAGGGGGATCACGACTCCAAAATTCGACCCTCCCGCGCTTGAACAGTGCCCCATGAGGCCCCAAGGAGCCCCCAAGAGGCCCCAGGAGGCCCCCAAGAGGCACCCAGGAGGCCCAAACGAAGCCTAAAGAGGCTACAAAACAGCCCCGAGGAGGCCCCACAACGGTCCCAAAACGGCTACCGAGAAGATGCGAAACTGCCTTCACGACGTCCCCGACAGGCCAACCACGAGATCCAAACCAACACCCATGAGGCCTCTGACCCACCACTCAGGGCACGGTGGCGGGAGCAGTGACAGCACTTGTGCACAGCATGTTCCGGCGGGAGCTTTCCGGAACACGCTGCAGGAGGAGGAGGAAGATCAGGAGTAGAGAGAGTTGGAGAGGGAGGAGGAGGAGGAGGAGGAGGGGACGAGGAGGAGGAAGAGGCCTCCAAGACAGCTCCAAGATAGCCGAAGAGGCTTTCAAGAGGGCCCTGGGCGGCCACCGAGGGCCCCAAGGCGGTGCCTGAGGCGCCCAAGACGGCCCGAGAGGGCCCCAAGACGGCCCCAAGAGTGGCCCAAGAAGGGAAACACAAACCGAGAATCCGAGCTTTCTACCCCGAGAGGTTCTCGGGAAGTCCCAAGAGGCCCCCAATCGGATCCAAGAGTCCCCCAAGAAGCTCCCAAGAGGGCCGACGAGGTTCCAAGAGATCTCCCAAGGTGGCCCCAAGAGGCACAACTCATTGTTTTACGATTGGGTTTTGACGGGTTTTATTTTTTTCTGCCTTTTGGCATCCCGATGCTCCAAGACGGCCCAAGAGGCTTCCAATACCGCTCCCATATAGAGGAATAGGCCTCCAAGAGGGCCCCAAGACGGCCCGCGAGGGCCCCAGCACGGTGCTTGAGGCGCCCAAGACGGCCCGAGAGGGCCCCAAGTGCCCCAAGAGAGGCCCAAGAAGGGGAACGCGACCCAACAGCAGAGCGTTCCTCCGAAAGGCCCACAGGAGGCCGCAAGAGGCTCCCAATTGGTCCGACGAGGACCCCAAAAGTTTCCCGAGGGCCTAAAAGGCCCCTAGGAGACGTCCAAGAGGCTTTGAAATAGGCCAAGAGTGCCCTCGATGCGTCAAAACTGCTTCCAGGAGGCCCCCGGAAGGCTTCCGGATTGCCTCAATCTGGCCGCAGGTGGCCTCAAGTCGGGCCTCCACGCAGCCAAGACGGCCAATGACGGCTTCAGATTCCAGAACCGATGCCCCCAGGGACCCTCAGACGCCCCCCCAAGAAGCACTCAAGAGGTGCCTCCAACAACCAGTTGACGAAGCATGCGGAACACCCC